CCGAGGAAAAGGCAGACTTGGAATCGATGGCTTCACCAAGTGGGATGCCACCTGATGAAAGGAAAAAACAGTACTCTGCAATGCGTAGGGCCATTGTCAAGACCTGTGAACCAGCACTTCTGGCCAAATTCCAGTTGGCAAGCGATGGGGAGAGGCCGATCATATGTTGCTGATCACCCTTTACATAGCGACCTGTTGTCTCTCCCGTGCATGACTGTTAGTTGTACTCCATCCCTCGTAACAGGTGGTCAATGCTCAAGCAGTGGCTGCTGAATGACGGCAAAACAGATTCCATTACGGTGGAGGAGAAATTCACCAAGTTTGTGGAGCAACTACGGACAGATCGGTACGTGACTGTAGCATGGCCTAAATTTTAAAAGCACAATATCTGCACACTGCAGTTCTTGGGGTTCTCATGTGTGTGTGCAATATTCGTGTGCGCAATGAATCCGAGACTTCCTTAGACTAGGTTACAAAGCTCCAACTTCAGAAAATGTACGGCAAGAGCAAGGAGAGCAAGGCTTTCATAGCCGAATTGATTAAAGGCTCCTAGCATGCAATATATGTTTTTTTCAACATAGTACGATGCAAACCTAGGGCCCCAAGATTCATCAATTGCTGAATACTCCACCAAGGCCAGGCAGGGACACCTCACCCGCAAGCACCCAACCTTGAGTCAGCGCGGATGTACAAGGTGCTGCGTGAGATCGCAGAGTGCACCAGCACCGGCTCTCGGAGTGACCATGCACTCTCGACAGGTGGTAGGGTGCGGGATGAGCAAATGAAAGCAATGATTTCGAAGCAGTTGGGTGTCGCTTTGGGTAACCTAGAAGAGCAAGGATTGGTGGACCTAAAGACAGGCCGTATTGCAGGGAAGAAAGCAAAGAAGCAAAAGACACCTGAACAACTAGCTCTAGGTGAAGTCAGAACACTTGGGAACAAGTTCCTTGATGAAATTAAACATGTATCGATCTTTGAACTTGCATCATAAGTTTGAGCGATTTCATTTCCGATATCAGCAAGGGCTGTGCGTGGATTCGGGTCCCTGGCTTCCAACCTGAAATGCTTTTCTATGACTTCTTGCATGTTTTCGACCTGACAATGGTCCCAGATGCAGCAGCAACAGCATTTTGGCTGGACCGTCATTTTGTTTTCTGCATGGGTGAGAATGGGAGACCTTTGCAACAGCATCCCTGGTTTGCAATGTTTTCTGCATTGGCCCCTGGCGCCTGAGGCATTAGTTGAGCTGTCTGAGGATGACTCTGTGTGGCCTGGTCAGTCAGTTGATGACCGTTTGCGCTATGCTCACGTGCAATTCGTGAAGTTGTGTCGTGAACAGAAAATCAGACTTTCAGCTGCTCTTAAATGTGGGGACTGAGAGTAGCATGTAGTTTGTTTGAGTGGTGCCAAGTACACTGAGAACTGCCTAAGGAAACAAGGGACAGGTGTTCAGCTTGCATCTTTTTTGCAATTTCAGTGAACTGTGCAAATGCATATGCCAAGAAGACATTGTTCTGACTGATGGTACCTGTGCACGACCTTTTTGAGACTTGAGGAAGCAATTGATTGCAAACAAAAAGTCGTTCCCCAGCTTGGCACAGAAACATTTCAATGGATCTGACTCTTAGCTTTTGCAAACATACGTGAATAGCTAGTGTGCTGATTTAGCATTGCAGCCTGGCTTTTCTCAGGAATCGGTGATTCTTGCCAGATGGCTGATGGGGATAACAGTTGCGATTGCTGTGAAGCGCCCGGATGATGAACATGCGCAGTGGCTCGACTCATCTGCAGCCTGTATGTTTGGATTGGCATGATAGTCTGCATGCTAGCTGTTTGAGTGATATTTTTAACCACGAGGCTGAGAGCAGCTGTCTTCATCAATGCTGTGGCTATCCGTCAAGCAGTTTCCTTGTCGCATGGTCCAATCCTGCCTCCGCATTGCATCAGAAAATTGCAAACTGCGAATTATTTGCTTCACAGTGCCATCAACTGCACCTTGGCCACTTGAAGGCTAGAAGTGGCTAGCAGCTGATTAAGCTTGGCAAGTGTGAGTGCATGCGCAATGATGGTTGCAGCTGATAGAGTTTTGGGAAACTGAGGGCTTGCCCAGGAGGCAATTGCAGCTGGTCACCTTCGGTGGAAGATTCGGCCAAAGCTTCACAAGTTTCTCGAATGGATGGATCGATACACTGGTAGGTCAAGTATAGAGTAAGGAGCATCTTTTTTAACAAGTGTGGGAAGGAGAGCACATCTTACAGTTGAGGCTTGACCACATCTGTTTAGACCAAGCGCCACTTTTATCACCACTTTGGACATCCACATATGGTGACGAAGACATGGTTCTTGGGTTGGCACTGGTGCAGTGCTGCTTGTGATGCATCGACGTGGGTTCATAAGCATAAACATGTCATGCATCGAGTGCGCGTCTAAGGTAGGGAAGGTGAAGCAGTTTGCAATGATGGCAAAGCCACACTTACTGGGACGACAGGTCCTCCTGCGATACGCATCCTATGTGTGTTGCCGATGGCTCCGGCAGCTAGAAGGGCAAAAAGGTTGAAACCAGTTACATTCAGTATTCTGTGTCCAACAGTGTGTCAACCCTGCTCTCAGCGATGTCCCAAGCGGATACCGAGCCTTGTGGAGTTCATCGATGGCAAAGTCCAGCAAGAAGTGTTGGGAGTGGAAAGGTGGAAAGTGGAGCAGGGCTGGGTACCAAGTCACATGGTTTGACCACCTCCTCAACCCAAGTGCCCGCCCCAAGAACGCAAGTGACCACTTTATATCCTAAGTGACCACATTACATCCCAAGTGACCATTGCCAGCTTCTTCTAAGTGACCTTTTGTTTCATAGATGGCTTAAGTGACCTCTATAGATCATAAAACATCAAGAGGTCACTTTGAAGAAGCTGGTTTATAAACATATACATATATATATATACATACATCTCTCTATATATATATATATTATACATCCTACAGATCCTACATCATTCTACTACCCATAAAATATGACAACTAAGTAAAGTGTGTGTCGGCTCTGAGCAACTGAATCCCTCGACGGCCGCCCTGATATAGCGTGCCAGGGACCTGAGTGGGATGAAGACTCAGGTGAAAAGATGTGAGAAGACTCCGCAAAGCATTTTCTACTTCATCCTGATGCAAACAACCAGGATTTCAGAGAGTGCTTGAATCGTAGCCTTTTTCCCATGAGCAATGGAAAAACGCATGAAACGATCGGCTCTTTTCAGCTCTGTCAATGTCCGAGCTGCATCATACTCTTGCTTCTTGTCCAGTGTCTTCGGCCTCCTCGGCAGCTTCCGCCCGCTGGGCGCCGTCACGGCAAAGCCGCCGAAGCCGCCGTCGTCCAGGGGGACGAGCGCCAGGGTGACGAGCAGCGTCCAAAGGCGACAGCGGTCCGAGCGGGGCGGGCCAGGGCGGACCATGGCGATCTGCGGTTCTCCCTACTCCAGCGGCCGGGGAGGAGGTCACGGCACTGTGTGAACCGGGTGCATGCTACACAGAGCTGTTTTTTTTCACCAAGACATGCTACAAATAGGTTTCGACATGTTTCGACCCATCCCACAATCTCACTTGCTGGAGGTGGTTCAGGGCAATCGTCCTTTCTTCTTGCGTCACACGTGTCAATGGACAGCTTCTTGATGGTCCACTCCAGCTGATTATCTTGCTATGTACAGGGAGGAGAGTGAGATAGAGCAGGAGACACAGTATTCCTACAGGTTCCTGAGCGAGAACAGTGCATTGTCACACTAGGAAGGGTACAGTATTTCTACATTGCCAACTCCTCGTGGTTGCCCATCATGCTTGCCCCTCTTTTACCTTCCCCCCACGAAAAGCGAAGCACATGAGTCTACTCGCCAGTCAAGGCGGGTATGATGGATTAAAGCTTAAAAGGAGTGCAACTGGGGCCACACTGGTAGTAGCATCGCTTGTCTCCTTGGGACCCAAGTTGGCACAAGTCAGCACGCCGCGGATGGCTGGGATTTCGACATGACGATTGCCAATATAGGTTGAGTTGAGTGATGGCGAGTGTTACTTACTTATGGGACTTATGGGATGAGGATGCAACAGTACGCGCTGCATGCAGGCTCCATATGTATGTGTCCAGGGTGCGTTGGGCGTGGCAGTGTTCTTGAGCCTAAATGACAACCGAGCCTAGAAAACAAACATCCCCACACCCTTCGCATGAGCGGCTACTTCCGCTTCCGAGATGCTGTCCACAACTGTTTGTTGAAAGACTTCCAGCTTCGTGGGAACAATGAAATCCACAACAAACATATGATAATATATGATACTTAATCAATCAGTCTAGCGCAAGGCTGCATGGTTCCAATATATGTTCCAATACCATCTTGGGTCATAGTTATTGTACCTATGACTCGCCGCTCCTTCCTGCCAGGAACCCACTTCAAACCAGAACCAACCCAATATCTAGTATATAGATGTAAATAGCAGGTTTTACTATGATCACTGAGAGTGATTTTGAATAGAATCCTATCCTGACCAGTGATGTTACCAACATATACCAACTGAGACTCACCCACCTAAACACCTAAACTGTCCTAGTCAAGGTGGTATTCCTCCTGCTTGATGGATGTTAATGGAATATATGTGGCCTGTGAAAAAAAAAGAACTGTCCTGGAGGCCCTGCTACGATTCTCTTAAGGTCTTTCGTCTTTGGCACTTTTGGTGGTGTAATAAACGTGATGACTTCCCGGAAATGCAGATAGAGACCCAAACCCTACGACCAAACCTCTTCAGGTTCTCTGCTGGTTCATGGTGGCTTTTCCGGGGTCCCACGACAACGGATCACCCAACTCAGCGAATTGGCCCTCCGGGCAAAAAACTGTCTGGATATAGCCTAGACCCCATATCACCTTCACCCAAACAAACTTCTCAGACAAGAACGACGAATGAGGTGTGGAGCCTCATCTTCCGCATGGATCTGTGTCCATTCCATGTCCTTCAGTCCAGTTCCACGCCTGGTGGCCCCTCTGAAGCACCGGCATCGTTGTCCTGGTGCAGCTCAAAGGCCTCGACGACGCGAGTTAGCGGCATTTTTCGGCGACGTGAGGTTGGGAGAAAGGCAGCCTTGGTTGAATGGATGTCTTGGGAGGGACATAGATGTTCCAATACAAGAACATATTGATGTCTCAATCTGGACTGGACATGACAGGACAAATGTTGTCTTTGGGGAGATCTGTGTGGATGTCAAAAAATCCTGAGAGAGGGAGAGAGAGAGAGAGAGAGAGAGAGAAAGAGATAGAGAATTAATTAACACAAAAAAACAAGAAAACCTGAGGATGGAGGCGGGCATGTCTTGTTGGTTAATTAGTTTTCCTGGAGGCTTGAAAGGGCACTACAAGTACAGCCAAATGAATTAAGCATCTTAAAAACACATGACAAACATGTCCAAAGGTTTTGTATGCAAGTGTAAACAAAAAAACTACTGGCACAAATAATCACGGCAGCAACCAGAAGTGAGACAGCAAATAAACAAAGAACAACATGCGTGACAAAAACGCGAAAGCGCACGGATATATATATATATATATATGAGCGGCGATCTAAACCTCTTACATGTGGTAGTGGACATTGGAAGCAGGGTATCGCTTTTTGTTCCCGACCCTATCGTTCTTGAAGGTTTCCGATCATTTTGTGAATCAGCACAACCAACATGCAAATATAGCTACGCACTCACAAGGGCAACTGCTTCTTTTTTCGCGGTGTCAGAGTTTGATGAACTGGACGAAGAAGATGAGGAGCTGGAGGAAACCAGCCCTGCCCTTCGCAACTTCGCTGCAAAGGCTTCTCTTTGTGCCTTGCTGCGTTCTCTCCGTCTGTTAACACGCTGCTGCAATTTCTGCAATTCTTCCTCAAAGTCAACTCCAGAGCCATGCTTTCGAGTCTTGCCTTCAGGCAAATATGCTTGCTGGTACTCTTGCTTCCTGGACAATCCAGTGTTCTCATGTCTTCCTAGGGGCTGAGGGTTTGTCATCCAAGTCTCCTTACCAGAGCCCCAGAAACCGCGGCGCCAGCTTGCTGGCAGCCCGCAATCCTCGATATTGAAATCATCAATTTCTGTCAGGGCGCTTGTAGACAGAACTAACACCGAGAAAAAGTCAGCAGCAAGCAAGTGCACTTTTTCACGACAGGGTGGATGGTTTCTCCCTATCCTGCCGCCTGTGATGGAGGGCGCCTCCACCACAGGATACCCCTAACTCAGTCAGGATGTCCACCTATCGAAGAATTTCTTCGATCTCTTCTTGGACTGCCCAACCACTGCTTTCATCTTCTTCTTGTTCTCCTTGTGCTCCATTGAACAACACTTCACTGCTTTCGAGGAGGTCGCCCATGACATACCACGTCAACTACTTCTCCGCAATGAGCTCTCGCCTCTGAAGATCAAATGCACTGTAGTCCTCATTTGTCAAGGCATCTGCAAGAACATTCCCATCTCTGCTCACCCAGGTCAATGTGGCAAAGGTATCAAGTCTCCTCAACGTCTCAGCCACCTCAATCACCAAGAGCGTGATGGGATACTTTGTCGACAAACCCTTCTTGAGAATGAAGGCATTCCCCCTGTTGTCTGTGAAGGCTTCCGCGAGGACCTCTGCTGTACCTCCTGCCCCCTTCAGCCACAACTTCAAGGCGACCAGGGTGGCCAGAAGTTCCAATGCAGCAATAACCCTCTTCGGGTCCCGGCCTCTGTAATATAGCGATGGGGCGCTGACTTCTGTAACCTTCAGGGAAAACCACCTGCACTCAAAGCTGTTGGCACTCTCCTCAAGCCATCCTCCTATCCATGCCTCTTCCTCCGTGGCCTTTGCATCGGTCCAGATCTTCAAGGGAGCTTTTCCCGTGCACCGGCCTCTTCACCGGTTCCAGTCTTCCGCCAGACCTCAACCTCTTTGCAATCCAGCTCAAAATGAATTGCACAGACCACGGGATCGTCAGGGTCCCCTTGTTGGACTGAATTGCCGCGGACCAAGCATACAAAGGGGCCAGTAGAGGTTTTTCCCATGGCAAAGCCAACGCAGTGAAGCCCAGCGGCCCTAGGCCCGCTGAAAATTCTCTGGCACTGACCTCCTTCCTCAGCCTTAGTGAACCTACCCAATCAATGATCCAACCTGCTCTCCTCTGCGAAAGGCCCATGGAGTACGTAGGTCTTGTAATCTGTTGTAAGGCCTATCCACTCCGTGACCAGGCCACCTCTCTGCTTCGACCACTTGAAGGGGGCCCCCAGTGCAGCCATCAGCGCAAAAGCCAAGACGCCACCTATCCTCCCTGTTCTGCCGGGCCTTTGCAAAATCTCCCACCAAAGACAACACTGCCAAGTGCTCCTCCTCATACTCCTCCAGCAGCGCCCGCTTCTCTCTCGGTCCAGGCATGCGCACTTTGTCCCTGCATGTGGTTCACCATGACTCCATGCGTCCCATCATGAATGACCCGCTTCTTGCCAGTGAGCTCATCCTCAACCAAGACTGCAAGAGCAGCAACTGCCCGGTTGTCACCGAAGCGGCGAACAAACTCCTCCTCAGTCATCTTGACCATGAGCCCTTCTGCAACCTCTTGTTCAAGGTGTTTGACCAGATACTTCTCACGCTCTTCAGCCGACAGGTAGTTGCTCTTCTGCCAAACTGCCTCGCCCCAATCTTCACCTTCCAAGTTCCACCTGCACTGCTCCTCAAAGATGTCAGGTGTACGAGGCAGCTCCTGCAACACTCCCAACGGAAGCCCGGACTTCGCCTGTTCAAGGAACCTCCAATCTGGATCCCACTTCTCAAGCACACCTCTCAGGAGGTCCAAAAAGAAAGGTTGCCCAGGCTCTGGCTCTCTCTGATCCGCAATGCTAAGCCTCTCACTCAGCACCACCCTGATCCTCCTCAAGAATGTCACCCCCTCTCGCCATCTTGAAGGCCTCTTTCTCCACAGCTGCGACACTGCCCATCACCTTGACAGCCTCCAAGAGCACCTGGTGTCCAAGCGCCGACCAACCCTCACTCCTCCATCATGGAATGAAGCTTCCAGACCCTTCCACGCACGATCGTGGGGGGCCTTCTCCTCCCGGAAAAGGCGGATTCATCGGGTCCACCTCACACTTTGCAGCATCCTCCAAATGCCTCCTCTGCAACTTCCCTGAGGTGCCAACCTCCTCCTCTGCCTTTCTCTTCTTGCTGACCTCTTCCAAAAACTCACCCTCCCCAGAACACTCTTGGAGAAAGGGGGTGAGTAGGGCCGAGGCTGTCCACTTGCAAAGGGCAGGCGGCCAAGCTGCAGATTGAGCTGTCTTAAACACTCCATGCTGCTTGCCGATGAGGGGGGCGCCCCCGGACCGGCGAGGAAGTGGACCAACATACCAGCCTTCATGATCAAACTGCGGTCGTCCCTCATACATTGCAGGATCCCAAGTCCTCTGGTTGCTCCATCAGACCAGTGCGCTTTCTGCATGCAAACTGACGCTTCAAAGCCTCAAAGGAAAAATCGGCCAGAATCGCCCCGAATTCAGCCTTGTGAAATCTGTCACCCTTGTTCCACGGGAAGCCTCTCGGAAAAGTAGAGCTCCTCAACGGGTACGGACCCAGATCATTCGCCCATACTGCACGCGAGGAGGTGGAACAAGGTGGTGTAACAATGACAGCGAAAAAGATGCCTTGAGCAATCATCCGCTCTGTACAGCTGGTATCGTAAAATCTGACCTTCGATCAGACTGGATGTCCAATTCTGTGATCTCCACTCGAACACCCAAACGTGGTGCAAGTCTCCTCTGGAATCCAGCCACCGAAGTGCGACGTTTCCTCCCCGAAAAGACGTAAAGGACCTTGAGGGTCCTTCACTTCTTGGACCCGTCAGTGTCTGGGGCCCCCGCTTCTTTTCGGTTCTTTGCGTTGCACTCGTAGAGCGGGTGTTTGTCACTATAGCAAATCCCGCGCACATGCCGATACTTGCACTTGCCCGTCTTGCTTTTCTCCCCCGGGGTGTTGTACCGGAAGCAGATCAGGTCTCCATCAGGCGTGTGTGTTGCACAATGCGGACTCCCCTTTCCTTTGCCCTTCTTGTTCTTTCCTTTCTCCTTGCCCTTGCCACCCTTTTCTGTGGTCCTCCACTTTGACTCCGGCTGCTCTCTCCATGGCCCATGGCGGCGTAGGCCTCTTTGCATACAATGCAAGGGGTGTTGTGAAGTTCCGCTCCTTGACTGTAGCATCCTTCCATGCTGTCTTCAATGCAACTGTAAGTGGCTTGCCTTCAGTGTTGGTGATCTTCACTGCTTGCTTCCTGATCGCCTTTTCATATGCAATGATCAGCTTCCAGGGTGGTGCAGCAAAGGTCTGTCCTTCTGCGTCCTTTGCACTGAGGCCATACACATAGTCGCCAAGGAGGTAATCCTTGTACTGCTCGACTGTCTCTTCCCATGCTCCTTGAAGCTCGCGCCTGTTGGAATGTTTCAACGATATCATGACCATTGCATTCTTCCAAACTGTCAACCTCTTGCGAAGTTCTTCGGCGTTTGCCGGTTCCTGCACTTTCGTCGAGCCCTTCTTCATGGCCAATCGGCCCTTGGAGTCCCAAATAGGCACCACAGTCTGCGGCCCGCTTTCTTCTTTCGACACGATCTCCGTGAGCTCCTCAGCGCGGTATTCACCGCTTTCGACCTCTGCCAACTTCTTTTCAATGTATTCTTTGGCAGGGTAGATCTTGTCTTCCAGGTGGCCGTACCTCTTCTCCAATGCCGACCTCATTGCTGCCCATTCCCCGGCCACCACTGGACGCGACCATTGAAGCGAGTCGTAGTCCGCGTCAACCTCTGCTGCTCTCTGGCTTCTCGTCTTGGCATTGCTGAATGCACATACGATGGCAGCCACCTGAACCCTCTCGTCCAAGGATCTCTCCGCATCTAATTCCCAATGCTCTTTGAGAACTGCGGTCAAGTCCTCTCGATCCTTCGCGAAGTTCGACAGCTTCTCAAGGGTCGTCACACCATGGTGATAAAACAGCTTTTGGTTGTCAACGCTCACCTCGTGCCTGGAGAACAGGTATTTGAGGTCAGTACCAGCAGTTTCCACCGCCTTAGTGCCCTCCGCGTCCGTGAGCACCGCCCTTGGCATGCTTGCCCCGGGTCTTGAGCCCCAACCTCTCTGGACACACCGGCCAGACATGCAGCATGCGATGCCGCAAGACACTGCTGTGCCTACTGTGCATGCTATGCACCTAACCGCTCACATGCGATGTGAAACACTTCTCAATGCGTGCTGTGAGGTGCGACCCCGCCTCTTCCGCATTTTGCTGCCACCGTGCGCTTGCTGCGCTCCTCCCCCAAGCCTGAGCGGCTCGCTCGACTCGGGGTCCCCAAATCCTACCAAGCTCTCCCTGGGTGCGACCCATGCTGCAAGGTTTACATGTTGTTCCTCCCCCTGGTGCGACCAGGGGTTCTGAGTTTGCTAACTCAAGGACACTCCCCCTTCCCAGCATCCCTTTTAGTCGCTGAGACTCAGCTCGTCGTGTGAGTCACTTGTGGGCTCGCTCAACTGACCTCCTCCACCGCCCCAACACATTTGCATCGGAGGGTGTATTCCTCGGGCTCCGGCAGCTTTTCGTGGACCTCCGATCTCACGAAGAACCTCCTCAATTTGCCATCCAGCAGCCCTTGTCTCCAAGCCTATGGAGGGTTCCCCTACCGGCTCGCCTGTACACGACGACGTATCCGCCTTCCCTCTCCTCTTCGAGGGGGGTGCCAACTTTCCTCTTCTTTGCCTCCCTGGGCTTCTGGCCGTCGCCCTCCACATCACTCTGCGAGCCATCGTAGATCGTAGTATCGTCCTCCGACAGCGGTATGACCGCATGCGGCCTTCCAGGCCTCGACCACGCTATCCGCCTGGTCCTCCGGGACAGTCCACTTCTCCGTCAGCCACACCTTGAGCTCTTCGAGGATCGAACCTTCATCCAAGTCTTCATAGGCCGTCTCACCCCTCAGGATCCCCACCATCTTCTTCTGCATCTTCTTCACGATGGAGTTGTAGGTCCGAACGTAGATGTCAGAACCCTCCGGACACCACCTCCCGAGGTAATCACGATCGGCCTTCTCTACACCAAGCGCTGCCAATCCGCTCGGCAGGGTTGCTCTCTCACTATGTTCCAACCAGAACCTCTCCCAGCCGGAGGGGATGAGCCTGCCACTGTACCCCTCAAGCAGGGCCAACGTCCTTGCACTGCCTGAGACCGCCTCCGCATACGTGACGTGGGACTCACCGTATCTAGTGCCGTAGAAACAGCCCTCCGGGAAAACGTATACACCCTGTCTCGAGGCATCTGCAACTTGATCAGGTCAAATCCAACCGCCAACCAGTCATCATGCACCACATAGGCATCCTTTGCTATGAACAAAGGAAGCTCTCTCACACGCTTTCCTGCGCCTGATGTCTTGGATTGATGCAGCATTCCAAGCAACTGACCATCATAGAATCGCAGCTCCGAAGTCTTCAGGTGTGCAGCGTCGTCAAACCTCATTGAGGTCCACAGCTTAACAAGCTTGAACCATGCACAAACCCTAACCTCAAAAGGCACGGCCCCATCAATGACCAATGTCTCCATGGGTGCAACGAAGCACCCCAGCCAGCGAGGCGCTCGCCTCACCGGTGGTGCATTCTGTTCCAGCCTTTTCGTCAGTTCCTTCATCACAATCTGCGGGAAGGTCTGTGACATCAATTGCTCCTCCTCTGGTGTTCCTGCAGTACGCTCAAACCGTGCAACCGCCGTGCTGACGGCCAGCGGGATCGACGGCCCCATGCCTTCCTCCTCACGTGCGTACATGTAGTCTACTAGCATCACAGTGTTCGGTCTCTGCCCCGGCTTGCCCATGGACTCGGACCATACTCGGAAGCGCTGCCATGAAGCCAAATTGGGAGTACCTCCGGATCGTGGACAACCTGTATTTTCCCAGCCCTCATTGGGTTCATTGCCTTCGCAACTTCTTCCAAAACCACTGCCCCGTAAATCTTGAGCTCGTCCACCAGCTTGCAAAGTACCTTGTCGTTCACTTCGTTCTCAGCTGCAATCCGACCGCCTCTCAACCGGACCGTCCGGCCCAGCGTCCCCCGTTTGGGTATGGCAGGCAACACTAACACATCTGCTTGTGGCTCGAGGGGTTTCTTCTCCTTCTCAATCATGGCCTTGGCATCCACCAAATTCTGCATGGACCACGACGATGAAGTCCCTCTCACACGGTTGTCAAGATCAGCCATCTGCACAGCTTCTCGTACCTGGCCCTTGACAAACGAAACGTGCCAAGGCTTACACTCCAGCCCTAGGCGCTCTGCCAGCTGTCGTGCCAGAGACTCTTCCGACCCATGGCTCACCGCTAGCCGCGCACTTATCAGGCCGACCTCGGTGAGGAGGTTGAGTATCTTTGCACTCACCTCTGGATCGGGGGTGCAAGCGCCCCCCTCCATTCCCACCAAAAACCAAAACAACTTCACAAACCCCTCGAGCCTCCAAGCACATAAACAAAAATCGGTCATGACAAGTCATGAGTGATTTCCAGCGTTACAGGCATTGAGCTGAATACATAGTTGTAGATTCTGATACCATCCGCAACAAACCAGGACAGCTGCGGATTGGTTGAACATCCAAATCCTTTCCAAGGCACTATTGCTTCCTAGGAAGTCATCAGCTTGGCATGTAAACTTCAAGGATTTGTATTCTCGAGGCATCCTTTGCTCAAGGTGATAGTACAGGACTCAAAACAAGCTGTGAACATACATGGTACAAGTAGTTCAGGTGTGACGATTCAGGTGAGGCCATCCCTTGCAAACTCGAAACTCTAAACACCAACAACTGGCTGTGCTTATCCATTACAGGGTATTAACCAAAGCAAAACCAGCTCTTAGTTGGAGCTAAACTGGTATTGTGGTCTTGTGAATCGTCGAAATCACGAGCTTTCCCAATCGCTACTGGTGAAGACACCCTGCACAGCCTGAACCCGACAAACACCATACTTAGTGGGATCTTCTCCATCTCAGCGATTTCCAAATGATCTTCCGAACGCATCTTGAGTTAGTCGGTTAAACTTCACATCCTCCAAGCCAATCTCCAAGCCTAGCCTGCCGTAAAAATGGCTGGAGCTCCGCTGGCAAATTTCTCCCAGCGTTAGCCGAGGGGAGAACAGCCAATCCTGGGATGCACATGTTGTTTTCCATGACGCCGCAGGTTTCGGTTTCGTCCCAACCGCAGAGGTCTGTTGAACATCGTCGATCCTTTAAATGTTTGCACTGTGACTGTTTGGTTCATTTAGTGAGTCGGAGGGGAGTGTTTAATTCTTCGATGCGATGGTTCGATGGTTCAAACATCTGCACACATCCCGATTTTCAGTGGCACCACCGTTGCAGGTGCTGCCGGATTTTTTCAATCTACAATCAAACTCAGTACAGGCTAGCGGCTAGTAACACCAATATGGACCAAAAAGCCTCGGCCACTTGGAATCAAAAAGAATTCCACCAAACTTCCATTGTTTGGGCAAAAGTCTCCCTGAAAGCCAATCGTCCATTACTTCTTTCACCAAGGGGTCACTTTTCAGATGTGCTTAAAAAAATCAGACCTTGGATCTGCAGAATTGAATTGACCAATGAAGGTTGGGGTCGCCCCGAATGTTGAGCCACAACATTTTGATAATCATTGTTTCTGCAATTCCACCCACCTCAGTCACACGACTCAAAACAGCCCACGTTCCAGTCTCGCGCTTTCCCGCCCAGTCGCCCATGTCCCCAGGCCGCATGGCAGAGATCCAGCCAATGGCGAAATCCTCCTGGAAAAAAACACACATGCTCTTTGGGGGAATGAAGAACTCTCCATGAGTGAGACACAGGGAAACGTGATGAGATAATATGATATGACAAAACATAAATCTGCGCAGGCAGCGGAAGTTGGGAAATTGTCCATTGTGTGTCAGGTGGTGACGGACTTGGCCTGTTGACTTTGTCCCACGAGAAAAAGGCCGTCTCCGCTGCATCGAAAACGGATGGATGTCTCAGCTTTTGGGATGTAGATTGGGAGAGTTCGAACTTCAGTGTGTTGAGGCAAACAACATTGTCATTCAAGGAAATCATGCAAATTCCAGTAGCTGTCTTTTGTGGATCATCAATCAAGGAATGGAAGGTTGACCACTGGAATCAACTGGATAGCATTCTCCTGTGCCTCGTTAGTATACCTGGGACGTATCTCCTGCATGGACCAGTGGAACATATATATATATATGCATGTCAGCCCACACATAAATAGTCTTTCCCGGTTTCTCACTATGACACTATGTCTTGAGGGACCCACGTTGACATCCACCATGTCAAACTGCGTGGTAGCCGCTGCTGGTCGCCTAGCTTTCCTTCAGAACAGTCTTCCGCCAACATCACAACAGTCTTCCGCCAACGTCACCTGCAGGGCCGCTGAGATGGCACTAAACTCAGCCAAGAGTGGTCTCAATGCTTGGCGCATCTCCGCCTGATGGAGCCGCGACCCGCGGTGCTGACGATGGAGCCGAAGAGCCCCGCGATCTTTTCTTGACCCGAGTGCGACTGGGGTAGCTATATAATGGTAGCTAAACTTGCTAATCATATTGGAGTGCACAGCCCTATCACTATATATCACTATCGTCACCTCTCCTGGGCATCACCCAGCACGACTGCAAACAAACACACAATGACAACGTCAAACACAACTACAACACACACCACTCGACAATGCACAAGGGCAATGACAACAAGATAACAAATGATAACAAACAGTTCAAACAATGACACACACACACACACATAATGGCAACCCCACCCATAGCATTCCACAAGCACAGCCCACGTGCACAAACAGATTCTTTACACCAACGCATACACGTTCATATGGGAGAAACCTGGTCTGGTGGGGATAGCTTGCAGTAAAACGATCTATCCTTCTCCTGGTCAGGAGTTCGGCACGAAGCGTTCGAAGACTTATCAGGTCAAAGACAGGTGGAAAGTGAACACCAATGTGGAGGCCTCCTAGCAGTGTCCTTGTTCCTAGTAGTAGGGCCAGGCCCCTAGTAGCGTCCTTGCTCCTTGTAGCGATGCCAGGAGCCCCTAGTAGCTGCCTATGTAAAAGTGTTGTCTTGCCGCCTTCTCTAAAACTTCCAGCCTTACTAGGACGCTACTAGGGGCTCCTGGCCCTACTACTAGGAACAAGAAGCTACTAGTAACAAGAATTAGTATTAGAGTTTTAAAGTTCAATTAGGATTTCATTAGAATTTAATCATTGACATTGTCTTTGGAGGATTTTGGAGGAGTAGCCTGAACAATGCTGGCCCCTTGACATTGACACCCGAAGGACAAGTGTAAAGAATCCCGCACATGCAATGATATCTACAACAAGTAATAGTAATATACATTATATATGTGTATATATAGTTTATAGTACAATATAATACATATCATAACATAACAATATATAATATATATATTTATCAATATATAACACATCATGTGGTGAGGCAGCTACTGCGGCCTAGATTGGTTCACTCAGTGGCTCGGCACGGTCCCTGTCGTCCAAACCCGTGTCACGTCCCACCTCGAAGAGCTGCGCGGCGGAGCCGCCAGCCGTGAGCTCCTCCAACTGCAGCAGTGCCTGGGGTGAGGACGACTGGTGATCAAATAACACCAGTGGTCTACTCATAAACATGCAATAACTTGTTGAGAGGAAAAGAGCAATTATCTAATTATAGATCTAATGAACAATCTGGCTGAATATATAGCTAGTCAATTAAGGGATGAACTGACTGCCTGACACTACTATATACTCTATTATGGTGCTTTTGACTTGTGTGTGTTTGATTGATTGAATGCTCATAAAACAAAGTTTCTGTGTCTGTGCAAGCCATTTTTTCACGCTCTCTTTCGAGCACTTGGATGCACAAAGTACAGCACAATCACAATTTAGTAGGAGCTCAAACATCTGACCTCCACATCCTGCATCTGGAGAAACAAACAAACTCTGCTCTGATGGTGCAATGGCCTCAGTAGCATTCTTCTCGCCCATGAAGAGACCAAGAATAGTCACATTGGACACAAAGGCCTGGAGTCCGGGCAGAAGGCGTCTTTTCTGCTTGGAATTTCTGAAAATGGCATTGTCCCACCGTCATAATGTATCCATAGCCCATCGCTCGCAAACCACATCTTCGGTGAACTACGTCGCTGGACCACGACCCCCCGGCGACTCACCACGCGCAATGGGCACCGCCGCGGCGCAAAAGCGCCATGGGCACCTCTAACAATCGGCGACCAGTGATGTTGGAGCCGGGAATCAAAACAGCAACCTGCAGTGGATGCTGATGAGACTGAAGTCGATGTGGATATGGAACAACAAAAACAAATGAAACAACACAACGGCCCTTCCGGGGCCCTTCCTACAAAAGTCCAAGTGAGTCTTCCAATAGGTCGTCCTCAGGCCAATTGAATTTCCTGACCCGTGCGGGTTGGGTACATGACATGCACTGAACATGCACCGAACATGCTCTGCAAGAGTATGGCTCAGTCAAGCGCATCCAAAAAGTACGAGCCACTTTAGGGTCTTTTGGGCCACATCTTACATATATACTTTGGGCCACATTAGTAACTACCTCTCCCCTTTTGCCCATATCCATGGTCCGTTGATATGTTTGATCCTTGGGATCTTGACTGATAGGCAAATCCTGGTCTTTTTTCGTTGAATCTTTCGCCTCAGCGACTAGGTTGCCGGTCACATGAAAGAATGGGGTGTCCAACCACACCCAACCCTGCAGCTCGTTCGGTAAAATGGGATCACCAACAATGAGTAAACTTCACACGGTGTGCGAAACACTAAGAGCAAGGTTTAAAACAGTCTAAAACCAATACCAAACACAAACACACATAGACCAACTTTACATATGTAACTTTTCGCGTGATCATGTTCAGAATGCACCAATCTGTTCAATTATGATTCCTCCATCCACATCAATATCTCTATGACAATTTGATATGGTATTTCAGGCCAGTTATGACATTTACAATGATCTAGGTGAAGCTTGATCTTCGATATCTTCAATGCCTTAGACGTTGGATGCTCTACACCGAGGGTACCCTCGCTAGAGAATGACCTGTTGTAGACGAAACATGACGAAACCCTCCTCAGTTCATCGACTGGAAAACAGCACCAGGGATGGAATCATGGGATCATTGAAGGATCAAACTGAGAATGATAGATTCCTTGAAACGATCCCCAACATCTTCTCTACGATTTCCGCCTGATCGATGGGATTTTCCCGCTGGTCCTAGCTTTCCTCGATGGGCCCAACAGCCAGTATCGGATCACGTCCACGGACGCACCTGCTCCACGTCTGCGCGGCAGGCGGCAGCCACGGCGTGGCGTAAGCCTGAGGAAAGTCACAGAGCTGGCAATCCCTTTCCCCTAGCGGCCCTAGCGGCCCAGTGATTGCCCCTGTTCAATTCTATCACTGGACTAACTCGACCATGAGGGAGTCGAAAGCTCCGGCCCAAATGGCAGCTTCGCCACATGGGCCCAGGCTTCGACTCATGAAGTAAAACACCACCATCTTTTGCTATGTCTATAGCCTATACACTGCCTACACGACCCAGCACCACACACTTCGATTCTTATCCATGCGTCATCCAAAGACATGCACACAAAAACAACATTCTGGACGTCTCAAAGGACGTCTCAAAGAAGCGACTATGAGCAAGACTTGACCCTCCGCATGAAAACAAACAAAGCCTCAATGGCGCCTGTATTGAGTCCGCCAGACATCAGCTCAACATTCAGCGAACTGCGGGCACCTGGGAGCTCCACCAAAACCTCGGTCGGGTCGTCTCTGGGTCTTGGATCTGCGGATCCGGTGTTGGTGATTGTGATTCTGACACGGGCCGCAGGTATGCCCAGGTGCGCAGGTAGACAGAGGGGAAATTCTTCCAAGTTCTTGAATCCAACAAAAAACATCGTCGTACAACATACAACTCGTCCTACAAAATCCCACTTGAGCTCTTGGAGCAGGGCAAGGGTGGCTAAGGAGTGAACTCCACCACCAGGAAACGTTCTTCTTCACACTTGGCTACCTTTGCATAGCACAGCGAGCTATAATGGACCACTTTAGGAATAGCACTCACTAGCAAAAATACTGATATATTTAACTATAAAATACTAAAACCAGAATTCACACAGGTTTGAATTCGCGAAGCAGTTGCGGTACCACCGTCCGATCTCGGCCCAGCAACGGCGGCAGGCGTCTCCAAGGTTTCGGGGAAGATCTCGAGACCTGCGAAACGACCCAAAAGCGCAATTAGTAGGAAGGATACTACTAGGTGGAGGCTTTTGGATATTACGTTGGAGGCCATCGCTACTAGGATACAAAAGGTCGGCTGCGGGATGCGGAAGTGATGTTCATTCCGCAGAGCAACAGCATGGTTGGCATGCTGCTTAGTCCTGGAAAAGCTGGTCTTGGCTTGGTTCACTTCTTCACTTTGTTTTCCGTTGAGTGTCACGCTCTTGCTTGAGACTGGAAGCATGCAGGATGAAAACCAACAATAACTGATTCTGAGACTCTGAGACCATCAAAATGGGGGCGCAGGGCAGGGGGGGCAGTCTTCATGCGGGTATGGGAATGAGGTCTCTCCGTTCGGCTTCATGAATCACATATAAATCAAGAGACTTTGTAGGAACCATTAAAGGTATAACTCGTCCCTAAACTCCTAGGATCTCCTAAGGTCATTGCACAAGATTAAAGAAGATTCTCTTGAGGATCGCCACATTCGACACATGAGGTTCCCATGTCAGTCGAGTGACCAAGGCTGGCATTCAGCAGGAAGATCTCCGAGGACCTCGTTCTCCAAACAGGTGGACTGATCGACGAGGACCGTGGACTGATGAACAGGCGACTGGGTGAGGAGAATTTGCCAGGCGACTGGGGATTGTGGACTCAAACCGCCAAGAATCCACAAGTACAGGTTCGATTGCTGAATGCTCCTGTCAAGCTGTTGTAAATACATGGTTCTGCAACTCGTCCTAGTTATTTAGTCAAACAGAACAAAACAAGCATTGAATCTCCGATCATGAGAGTCTACATATTCACATAGATCCTATTGTGTATATAGTACAGTATATGTACAAATTATATACATGCATATAGTTATTATATATTAAATTCTACAAAACATCACACATGCTCTTACTTTGAGCTATTGCATGATCCTCTTGGCTTGCAAGATCTTGCGTGAGGTAAACACTGCCACAGTGTATTGACTGAACTGAGATTAAAAGCCAAACACAAGTCATGGTTTTGATAAACAACTTGCACATAGTCCAGCCTTCTTCTGAGATTCAATTCCAATCACCCCTACTCACTACTCCCTGTGCCAGTCACGATCCAACCTCAAAGTTTGTTAGAACATGTTAGAACTGCTTCTGATACAATATCTTAAACATAGCGGAGCTATTGACCAGTTTGACACTTACGATTGCTGAAGCAAAACGCCCATGGTTTCTGCTGAAAACGCCCGTGCCAAGCGCCCCGGCCACACCTTGTCCGTCCCACCCTGGGAGCTGTTCCCACGAGCCCGCAAGCACTGAAAGGTCGAAGGTAGAAGATGACCTGCGCCAACGACCGAAACAGTGAATAACCGGTTCGGCAAACGAATTTGAAACAAATCCTACAAGTACCTTCTTGCTACCAGTATAGTAATGCTCTTGTTACTAGTAGCGATGCCTTTGTTGCTAGTAGCTTCTTGAATGAATTTTCACCTCAACGAAATGGTTGAGCTCAATTTGGCACTGTTGATGACTTGTTGATACTTTTTGTATCTTGTTGTGCTCGGGCCTCTTGAGCATTGATCACCCACAAATGGGGGCGTGAACTCGTGGTCTACACAAACAATCCAAACAACATACCATGCCCGGCCATGTCCATACCGAACTCGCTGATCAGAGTCCCTAAATGGGCGCCTAAACCGGTCGGGATGACTTCCTTTTTCTCCGATGGATCCCAACCGATCACCGTCATCACCGAAGGACACCTTCGTCGAAACGGTTGGTCCATGTTCGGAGAAACGGGCTTTTGCAGTCCTGGTCCCCAATCGACGACCGTGTTCCATTCTGCAGATGTTTCATCCAAATGAATTAGACCGAAGGCGACCATTCACACTAGTCACTAGCGCAACACAGGGGCCATCAAAGCCTTGCACACTGATGGGCTGGACAAACGAACATCAGCGGAATCAGTGATTACATGGTGATTGGATGTGATTGGAGACATTTTTATGTATGCTTGGACTTGGAGTGTCCAAGTACCTTCTGAGAAGGTCTGTGGATCACTGGTGAGTGCATGCTGCCTCTTTCCGCTTCAACCAGAACGTCAACACCGTTGCGCCTGAGCCATTCACGTCGCAGGAGAGCTCCGAGACGCTGGGGGAATAGCCTGGAGAAGCGCGGAATCAATGCGTTTGCACGATTGGACTCGCTTTCGTGGGCTTCAGTGGGCTTTCGAACTGGGAGGTCTTCCCATTTCAGCTACACACCACATGCCTGCCATATAGTGGCATACGCCATCCATTTCAAAGTTTGGTCGTAGCATGTCGTAGCCGGCCTTCTTGACACAGGCTGCGACAAAGACTCCCTGGAGCGATCTGGTAGCCCTCACGGCAGCTGGGATCCTGCGATCTGGGGGAACTTGCAAAGCCACTTCATCAAAATGATCATCCACTCCTCCAAACTAGTAGCAGCGATGGCCTAAAATCTATAGTAGCGATAGCCTCCAACCTATAGTATATAGCGATGGCAACCTAGAAGCGTAGCCTCCAACCTAGTAGCCATGGCCTCCAATCTAGAAGCGATGGCATCTAACCTAGTAGCGATGGCCTCCAACCAAGTAACGATTTCCAACCTAGTAGCGATGGCAACCTAGAAGCGATGGCCTCCAACCTAGTAGCGATTGCCTCCAACCTAGTAGTGATGGTCACCTCCAACCTAGTAGCGATGGCCTCCAACCTAGTAGCGATGGCCTCCAACCTAGAAGCGATGGCCTCAAACCTAGTATATCGGTGGCCTCCAACCTAGAAGCGGTGGCCTCCGACCTGGTAGCGATGGCCTCCAATCTAGAAGCGATGGCCTCCAACCTAGAAGCGATGGCCTCCAACCTAGTAGCGATGGCCTCCAATCAACATGATCCACTCAACTGGTCGTTGGGGATGACACTCCCCCTGAACCCATGTCAGTGATGAAAACTGCAATGTCAAAGACATAGGTGATTAATGTTTATTGTTTGCAGTGTAATGTTGACATAGGTTTACTGTAAGTATGTAACCTCCCCTATCAATCAAGTCCAGCTCCAGCTCGAGCCCCCAATACTAAACTAATTTAAAACCTGACTTCCACATATCCATCACCCTAATGAAAGTGTTCCTTGGCAGGCACCTCCAAGCCCAGCTGCTCCAGAAAAACAAAATAACAACAAGTTTCTTATTATGTCTTATCTTATTGTATTTACTTTGTGTATAGTCAGCATCCAATATCTTCTGGTTTGCATCCATTGTTTCACAATCAGTCTTTCATCTTCCCTTATTAAAACTCTATCAAAATCTTCAGGTGTTCAAGCTCACAAAGGCTACCTCTTACACAGGCCTCATGGTTCACACAGAATCCTAGCAACCAACATCCATCATCAGGTCGTCACCTTTATATATTTATATATTATATAAATATATATATATATATATTTGTATATTAGGGGGATCTGGTCTCCAAAACCTCCAATCTCAAACCTTGCTGACCTTGTTGACCTTGAAGGGGGGTGATTAATCCTACGTCGACATTAGTAGGGCAGTCGTTGATAAACCTTCCAAATCTGCCTTTCTTGGAACCTTAACAATCATTGAGCAACAATTGGCTCCTGTGATAAGCCAACACCCAACGGTGCAGCGCATGGCATGTCCATTGGATCTGTTGCGACCTTGGGACGTGGAGGAGATGTTCGCTCACAGGGCTCACATGGTTTTCAGAGGTCCCCAATGGTCACTGGTTTGCACATCACCTTGTTGGAATAAGTAAGAATTCCAATATAATTCCAATCAGCTTTCACATGCTTTCATTACTCAGACTGCACTGGCACGCAAGTTTTTTGTTTTGTATGCAACTATCTAAGCCTGCTGTTGCAGGAACTATTGTTTGGCACATGCTACAAATTTGGGATAAATCCAATGGCATGTTGACCAGCGCAGCATGCAAAGGGACAAGCATTGTTGACTCATGTTGGCAGCCTGCGTTGAAAAGCAACCAGGGTGGACATTCGAAGAGGCTGAACTGATGACAACACAAATCGATGCGAGCGTCCGCGAAACCACATAGTCCATTGACTCACTGGAATGATGAAAGTAGAAAACAAGGTTCCTCCCTGACTATGCCCACGGTACGGTGGATAGTTGGTTGGTCTGGTCTCTTGCCCAAATCCGACGTCACGCGATGGAACGTTGCGCTGCAGGGATCCACAGGATGCCTCTGCGATGTTTGAGGACGCAACTGGACTCACTTTTGGAGGGTCCAACTACCTGACCATCTTTCTTGTTGCACAAACACTTGCCTCAGGGATGGTAGATATTTCAAAAAATGTTTCCCGAAGGTTCTTTTTTTAAACACCAAGTGGGTGGAGAGTGGGTGCCTCGACATGGAACTGCGGGTATATTGCAAAGGTACTTGCTCCTTGACATTGTCCCTCGTTTTTCTGGCGCTCTGGTGCAATCATGTGCAATCGAGAGGCGCAGGTCTCATTGGCGCTGGAGTCACCTCAACATGGCATTGGCATTGGTGGGAGAGAATGAATAGGATCAAGCTTCGGTGAAGCATGCATTTAACTTAACCCAAAGTGGGCAAGCTCAAATGTACTATATTTGCATACTAATTAATTCCTAGTGCAAAGTCAGTCTTTTGAGGGCTCCCTTGAATTCCACAGGTGTCAATTCCCTGTGAAAAGCCACATGCATCGGCCCTGAGGTCGCCACAGCATTCGGCCAAGCACTGGAACTCAGGCGGTTGAAATCGCCCCACCTGGAGGATCGGGGGTTCTTCAGATAAGCTTCTCGGTGGTGCAGCTTGCTACTAATGCTGGGCACTAGAGATGTTTCAGACGTTCACCCTTCCAAAAGTCAATGTCATGCGTGGGCATCTCGGAAAGACAACACTCCGGCCTCGCAGTGCAATTCAGCCACCGAAGGGTGGTAGCCTGCCGTCGCCGACGGAATTCGGGTGTTGGGCCTAGCGTTTTGACCAACAACTGAAACGGAGCAACTCAATGTTCACATCCTCAAAGTGGATACCAGCAACAGGTATAAAGTCGATAATCCGTTGGTAAATCCTGGAATTAAATGATTTCATATTATTTCATCCCTCGACCCTGATCATCCGAGTTCATCAATCCATAAATCGGCAAACGTTTGTGATTCTGCCTTCAAGTGGATTCCGTCATATTTTCTGTACTCCGTTATATCCACCACAGTTTTGGGTGATTTGCACGAAGAACTTCCACTTTTGAAGGTCCCGAACTGCAGATGGGTCCCTATTCAAGACAAATCATAACGAATAACAGCGATTATTCCCAAACTCGGCCAAATTGAAGTATTGGATGATATTGGATGTGTGCATCTTGGTCGTCCTTTCCCGAGTGCAAGATGTTATGTTTGGCTTCGGGGGGCTTTTCGTGTACACCAAAGAATGAGCGCCCATGATGATTCGCCTGGCATACAGGCGCTCTGGCAAATGCCACCGTTCTGCACAAAGGCGCCACCGTTGCAGCTGGGACTGCCAGCGTTGTGTATGCCTTAAGGCGCAGTGAATTGGTGAAGGGTGGAACTCGTGAAATGCGTAGAATGATGTGCACTACCTGATGCGTAGGCCTTCATCCTATGGCCAATAACGAGGCCCAAAATGCCAGTACAAACACATCTGGTCTTCAGACATAACACATCCGGAACATGGTCGGAACCACTCCAATAACAAGCTGTTAGACCTTTTGTGGTGTTTTGAGGTGATGGGCAGGACCACTTGAACTGCCAATTTTGTCAATGGGTGTCCGTGCGCCGACAAAAAAGACCAACAATCAAAGAGAGAGAGAGAGAGAGAGAGTTACTAGTAGCTTCTTGCTCCTAGTAGCGAAGGCCTCCGACCTACTTGCGAGAGAGAGAGAGAGGGGAGTCCGAAAGAAATCGAAAGAAGCATCTGAGTAAAAGTCCACTTCATCCGTCCATTGTGCACCATCGGATCTGAATCATTCACTAACGTTTTGTATTTCTCCACAGCATGGGAGGGCTGCTCTTGGGCACAACTGATTCATTGCCACTCCCAAACCATCCATGTATGAAATAGTTACATACTCCGGGGTGGGTAAATGGTACATAAACCGACCGTGACGCCGTGGCTGTGCGGAGATGTGGCGAGGAGATGGGCGTTGCGTGTCTTTTCGACAGAAACGCAGACCTTTGTCAAAATCCTTTTCGAGAGAAGGGCAGTGTCTTGAACAGAATGCCTGGTTCATTCTGAAGTGTATTTTGCATTGTATACCGTTCCCTACAAGTACTATATACACCAGCTTTGTTCTTTAGAGGAAGTGTCTCGTAATATCTCATTATTCGATCAAATGTCATGGTAACTCTACCATGTTTGCATTTATATAAACAAACTCACTGCATCACTTGTAACATCTTATACCGTCTATCTCCCTCTATCTAATATATATATAATATGTGTACATATATTATGTATTATATAAATGTATATAAATGTGCTTGAACGACTCCATACGTCTCACGCATATTTTACAAATTACAGTAAGTCAGTGTACATAATCCATATCACTACACAAACATGTACCGATACCGCTCATGCAAAACAACCCGCCATGTGGCCCATGGGCGCCGCGCAGGGCAAGGCTGCACAGCCTTGGAGCTGAAAGACTGGCGGCGCAGGAGGCCGCGGGCACACGGCTCCGGCGCCCGCAGCGCCTCGACGCGTCGGACGGGAGCGTCGGAGTGCCGTGGTGCAGACAGGCCGGAGCGGAGCGGAGTCCCAGTACGAAGCGACGGAGTGGAGCGTCGATGTTTTACTTCATTCCTCATCCACAGGAAGTAGATCAACCATCAGGAAGAGCAAAGGACCCGATCACCATGTGATCACCTGTTTCGAGAGAGTTGGCCGAAGAGGCATCATGTCGCCTGCAACCACAAAGCCAACATCACAGCTCACGATGCAGTCCTGCCAGTTGCAAGAACCTAAAAACAACTGAGTTTGTAGTGAGTGGTCCGAAATACGTGGACCTTGACGCTGCCTCGACATAGAACAGATTCACTCCAAATGACTCGTTCAAACATCGACGTGACTGTCGGGGAAATCCACACCTCCATGTGGTGTTTATTCCACAACTCCTGCTTCCGATGTATTCTTGTTTATGGTCTGAAAGGCACGGTGGCCAATATGTGTATAGAATATCTCAACATTCTGCCTGCGGAGTCCAAATGAACATGGTAGAGCTTTGCGGGTACGACACTTGACTCAGGTTCTCCAAAGATTTTATGGAGACAATATATACGCTGTTCCAGTAGGACTTGTGATTCCGTTTTGCTGAATTTGCTTCCAAAATTCTCTTGCTCTAGCAAGGGCAGTGGTGGTGTGGTATCATGCAAAAACATGTTGGGAATCTTGGCAGAAAAGGCATGTGACTAGCATTTATCATACAGTAAATGTGCAAGCAACTATACTCAGCAATAGTTTGGAAGAACACACGCACACACGGTCATCTATGTAGAAACTAGAGTGACAACAAGTGCCACTGGTGAGGATAACCCTTCGATATGGACACCCATTGTTCTGCTCTCCCTCTCCTGTTCCAGGATGGGCGTGGTTGCGGCCTCGCACCCGGCAGTGCGGTAGCCCGTCGTGTCCTCGAGGTTGTGGGAACACTGTGAGAAGATTGACATATATTGAACTCCATGTGCGCTGACAAGCTCTATACAAGCTGCCAATTTGCAGAACAAGAGTGATTTGTTCCCTGGTCTCTTGTGATTCTTATAAGGGCAAAATAGCCGAGGATTGTCCTTCATGAATCTTCATGAGATGTCCTGGTCATCGTGTTGACAGAGTCATCTCATCTTGTGTAACTTTGAGTCACAATAACGCGTCTCAAACTGGAAAGTCCAGGGAGAACCACAATGACAAAGGGCAAGTTTGAAAGGGTCTCTGCACCATAGGGTTCATTCACTGCGCAACGAACAGTACAGCGGAGTTATGCAAACTCATGGGTTTATAATTCTGCCAAAGCAAGAATTGGGATGTTACTGTTGCTTTTTTGGAAGGCGCTCTACAGACTGTGTAGGCCCAATCTGAGAATTCATCCACTGCAAATGGTTTTTCCAATCACGCTGACGTTCCCTGGCCAAGAGACCTCAGGCAAAAGGCATGGCCATTGCAAGACCAGCTTGGAAACAGCACTTGGATCCTAAGCCGCAGTCGGCAAAGGGAACGTCGGCCCAGCGTTCAGTGAGTGTAATCGAGCAGAGGTTGCTCAAACTGCAGGCGAGACACACCAGTGGATGGCAAGAGAAGTGCAACCTAGCGGCTAGCGCCAAAAAGATCAAGAAACATCCTTCTACTACCCCCAGATTCATCTCCAGGTATTGGCTCTCCTACCCTTCGAACTTCAGTGACTAACCCTCGTCCCAGAAAAGAAATCGCGGGTCATCGGCAAGTCCGTGGTAAATGGGGTGATGGATGGATCAGAATCATTGGCTGTGGGTCAAGACCGGGGACTCTGATTGACCACCGATCGAAAGACTCTGGCGCCACCGGTACCACTTGAAAGGGGTACCGGGGTGTTGATATGTATGAGCAAATCATCAAATTACGTGCTCTAGTTGACGGCCAAAAATGAAAAACTATTAGGGAGGTCAACCTATCATGGTTTTGGGCTCCGGGTGTTGACCCACAGCCAAATGATGTCCTCGCCCCAAGGTTGACAAGGTTGAGGTTCACCTCGGCCCAGCACTTTCCGCACCTCGTCTTCTTGCAACCTCGTCATGGACGGCAAGATCCCAGAACGAGAGTCTCCAGGCAAAGAAATGTCAAAGCCGTTGGCCATGTGCCTCCAGGGCAAAGGATTTAGAAGATTACCGCACTCTAGAGTTGCAGTTCATATTCTATATCCAAGCAACAGTTAGTAGCGAAAACATGACAAATGGATCAATGATCTGAAGCTCAGCACTTGGACAAATGCCAAAAAAGGCTTCTTACAACTTTCCTGCTCACTGTGGATCGCCTCTCCCAAGTGTAAATGAAGCGCGCTTTGCTGGCTGCAGCTAGCAGAATTGGCCCATCAGGGCCGAAGCTATCCAATGCTGCTGGAATGGCATCAAACAAGAAGGACTCCTGGGCGGAAAGTTTTGCTTACTGGAAACGGCTTGATTTCAAGCTGTGAAGAGTCAATAGTTAAAAATGGTCAAAGATGTCCTTATATCCTATCCACTGCTTGACAGCTTTGTTCTGCAAGGACTCCTCCAAAGAATATGGAATCCTTAAGTTCCCTCCGATCCACTGCTGCCCTTTCATGACAAATCTTACGCGTCTTTGTCCTAATGGAATTCATTTGGGTCAAAATCCATTTGGTATCCAGAGACCCAAAAACAATCTTCAATCTCCTGTGTGGTCTTTGCTGGGTCGAGTTTCTTGCCACACCCAGCTAGCTTCCTGCGAGCAAAAATACCAATGGCCGAGACACACCAAGCTCCAACTCCTCAAAAGCCTCGTCGAACCTCTTAGGATCAAAGACGGACGCGTAAATATGGTGAACAAAAGAGCTGACAAACACAAACACCCCTTCTCTCTCTCTCTCTGTCTTTCCAAGTGGTGGTGTAGACTGAACTCTGCCACCAAAATACAGTTTGACTAAGACTAGATTTGAGCCAGGAGTTCTGAGGAAACTTTAATGAACCCATTATTCATGCCAGGGGGTCCCCCGATTCTGAGATGAGCCATGATGAGCCCGTTGTCTTATCATCTTACTATAAACAATCATACACATGTGTTTAGCAGGGAAAAAAAACAACACATCCGAGCACCGACCTCAGACAAGATACCGTGTTGTATCATGTTGTATGATTATATGTTGTTCCTGAGAAGCACAAATATTCTCGTTCGATCACCATCATTTGGTTCGGGGGGGCGGGCACTTGCTAAGGCCTGATCCACCCACCCGCTACAACGAAAAGAACATCAGACTCCCCCATCTGCTCCAGTTCTTGCAGCAGCTTTGCAATGGTGTTGAAGTGGGCATTTATTTGGGAATCTTTGGATGGTTTTGGCTGTGGACCGCTGAAAACCAGTCATCCGAGCGGATCTCCATGAAAAACAGTTGCTTTCTTCGAGCATGGCAGCATGGCTGCAATTGGACATGCTTAAATGGGTTGGGTTAGGTTCGTTGAAGGCTTCCATTGGATGGGGAACAACTCAAACCCAATAGTATCAGGAGAGGGAAGTCCCACAAATGTCTTCGCAGGACTTATATAACAGTTGTGAAGATTTAGTTAATCTATACTCCTCCACAAGTAGGTGTTCAAAGTTGCTCACATGGTATTTATTCATGTTCATGACCCATGCGCCATGCGCTTGGCGCAGCAACCCCAGCCAAGGACATCGCCCGTCGCCTGCCGAGACGAAGGGCTGTGGACTGAAAGAAACTATCCTCAGCCGCAGGCATCGCTACAAACGGAGCAAGAAGCTCCTGGCATTTCGACGAAAGTAGCAAGAAGCTGCGAACGTAACAAAGGGCATCGCTACGAACGGAACAATGAGCTGCTCAGTTGGGGCTTTTGGTTCCCCAGTGGCACGGCGGTGCAGCCAAAGGCATCCCAAAATATCCAAAATCCAGAAGTGGTTGGGTGGGTGGGGTATTCAAAAGGCTGTGGAAAGGTTGAAACATTCAACACCTCCAGGTCCCCAAGTCAGTGATCTTCGTCGAAACACATGTTCTAAGACTCTTGACCTCTTGCAACACATACCCATCGACCGAGAACCCCTTGGCTCCAATCATCCCAAACAAGACATAAGAATATATGGTAATGGGCTCGCCAAAAGTATTGGGTGTGCATGTTGTATACGTATTGGGTCTCCCGTGGCCCTGGTTGGGTCTGGTCGAATCAGGTCACCCTTTCTGAGGTCAGAAACACCCGGACCACACCCACACAGGTGTATCACTTGACATTGAGGGCCCACAAGGGCGCGTCCACAAAGGCGGTTCCACGCTACTCGTGCTAGTAGCAAATAAATACGTTCGTAGCTTCTTGTTACTAGTATTGGCCTCCAACCTACTTGCGATGGCCTCCAGCTAGTAGTGTCCTTGCTACAAGAAACTCTGCTGAGAGTCTGCAAAACTGACGACCAAGCGCCGACCACGTAGTGTGGCCAGGCTGGGGAAAAGCAAAGGGCCTGGAGTGTCAGGGCCGGGTGGGTCTCTTGGGTTGGTAGGTTCGTTTTTCTTTTTAAGCCCGGTACTATGATGATTATAGCTAATTTTAGGCCGGTCGTATTAGTGTTTGTTTTTTGATCGGGGGATGTAGAGGTATAAGCTAATTGCTATGAGGTACTAAACACGCTCCTAGTCACTGGACGGAGGATAGCGGATAGCTCACGCTCGCACCAATGATTAAATTCCTAGCTCTTTAGCATTGGTTGGATTCGTTGGTGATTGGTGAGTGCCTGGGTTTGTTGATTCATTGGTTCGCAGCCGCAGGTTTCTATATAACATATATAGTAGAGCCACAGAAAACCATTGTCCTTTCCCCTTAATCTTCTGGGGCGGTCCACCCGCCAGTGAAGGCGGTTGGAAAGCGCCCACTTGGCACAAAGAATCACCTGGAACAAAGGAACATGAGGAAACCAACTGTTGATGTGGTTGTGGTTGCAGTTGTTGTTGCTCTTGTTCCTGATCTTACTCTTGTTCTTGTTGTTGTGAAAAGGACACCTGCACTGCTTTCAGCCCAAACTCAACTTGGCTGACAGTATCCTGGTTTCCATCTGCCAATCTATCTTGAATTATTTTGAACGATCGAAACCTGAGGTCGCCGATAGACCATATATAGGAGGTGATGACTCTTTAGTCTTGTCTGTAGTGTTGACCCCTTTCACATCATGAAGTTCCTCTCCTCTCCATGCCAGCGCGATACCAACGTCGAAGAGATTGAATTGGGAAGAAGGATCCTGTTTCGTGAAGGTCTGATGTAGGAAATCCAGCAAAACATGTGGCGCTGCTGGCTCAAGCATTGACAATCTAATACAACATGTACACAACCTCAAAATGCATGCGTTCAGGTGCCATGTATTGCCAATTGCTGACTCACTTAGAACCAGCTGCACTGTTCTCTACTCCCTGTTGAACAAGGACGCGCGGGACACGCGCGCTCTCGCGCGTGCTGTCTCTCTCTCTCTCTCTGCGATGATGGGCCGCCAAACCGACGGAATCGTTGGGTAGCAGCAAACATGCGAACAGCAATTACACTGTGAGGGATGGTCAAAACTCATATATTACTATTATTCAACTAAAAGATGGACGTTATCCGTTTTGAATAGGACCTTAACTCACATGGATTTGTATCTGGTACATCTCCACCTGGCTTGAACGGCGAAGACACGGGAATTGGATGGAATTGGCAGAATAGCACATCGGTTGCTCTTTTGTCGTGGCCTTAAGAGTACCTGCTTGCAGGATGGCCATAGAACCCACACAGGCATGTATGCACTCTGCTGATATTGCATTTGACAAATGTCAAATTCAAACATGTGTCATGTCAATTTCAAATCATTGGCACAAGGATGATCACGGATGTTGCGCACGTGTGCTGTATAAAAACACTGCCGGCAAAAAGGTGGTGCTCTACGCAACAAAACACACATGCACGTCAAGGTCATGTGTCCAAAAAATGAAGAAACCAAAACACATTGTCCTTTCAAGAAGATCCACCCGCCTTCATTCAAGACCATAGCTCTGCCAGGACGGGGCGCTTCACCAACCTGTGACCAAGCGATGATGTCAAAGACTTGTATCTGCATCTAAGGGAATTATTACATGACATTTGGACTTTGGAAGCTCATGTGTAGAATCTTTAAGGTCGACTTGTTCCTGCGGCAAACTGTTCCGTGCAATTTTGGTTCGAGGTATTGATGTCTAGCTGTCCAGCTGGATTTCTAAGTTCTGCTACCAACCATGACTTCTCAAGTTTAATTTCCAGTGAGCACTGATGCCAGAAGTGCACCATTTCTGTCGATAAAGGACATCTCAATTATACTATATTATATAATGATGTTCGTCTTATCGTTTGAGGTCCCTTTGGGTCCTTTGATACATCTCCCTTCTCAATTCCTTTGCAGCCGCTAGGTGTTTGCGGTCACTGCCTAATCTGTCAACAAATGATCTATCAACAAATGTATTCTTTCACACATCAAAACACTAATTCATCATGTCTAGATATTGGCTTTGAACTTGGGTATATCCCATGGCCAGCAACAATGGATGATAGCTCATAAGGCCTTTCTCAAACGATCTCGTCCTCTTTTGGCGACTGTTCCTGATTTACTGGGACACACCTCCGCAAGGTCCATGGCTTCACATGGACCTTGCGGATTCACGACACGTTCTCGTCTCTCCTTGACCGCCTGGGAAGGAGCCCTGGAAGGACCAAGCACTTGACCACTCCGGTTGTTCCACTCCCGTGTGACCCCGTTGAGTGACCTGCAAATAGATAGAAAGGAACATCCCATCAACAAGAGCACATTGTCTTGGGAGTTCTTTTAGCTATCCCGTTCGGGGTCAACAAAAATCCTCTGACTTCTTCTCGCCTGGCGCTGAACCACTTGCACCATGGCATTGGGTTGAGAGCTTCCACGCTCGTAAACCAGGGCCTTGAAGCGGCGACAGATGTGGGAACTCATCCTGCCTAAGGAGTACCTTTCGGCCACGGCCACGCACCCCAAAGCTTATCTCAAGATTTACAGACTGACAAATCAGATATCTACCAAGCCCAGGGGTGTGTGTAGTGCCAAATCTTTAACCTCATTCTCGCTTCGACTTTGCCCGTTTGCTTCCTTTGGGCTTGTAATCGTGCAAAGCATTGGACTGCCAGAAATGTGACATTAAAAATCAGGAGGTGAACCTGAACCCCCTCAAGATGTTGTTTCAGCACGACTCACAAATCTAAAATCAATCGGGTTGTTTGCAGGAACTGACCAAGCTTCATCCTTATCCATCATGTGCATGGAACGTGATTGGAACATGGTCTTGTTTTAAGCTGATTAGGTAGATATTGTGAAGGCCACACCGTCATGCTCTTCGCCCCAATGAGAGAGCTCAATCCCCACGAGGATTCCGGTTCGCATGGGAAAAAATACAGTGACTTCATTGCAACCTCATGGTCCGTGCGGACGGGACGGTTGGGCAAATCCGGTGCAAGACCCGCCAACAAAATAGCTCTAAGAATGTCAAGTCCTGTGGGACTTGATCTGGGAACCGATTTCATCGCTCCAAACATCCGAACACAGGCTTCTGTGAAGCCTGTAAAGAGATGGCATAGTAACAAATGGTCTGTTCCAAGATGACCAGGCCCAGCCTGTGCTGACTGCCTGTTCATCCGAATCAGCTGAACAGGCCCACCGTGTACCCCCGAAAAGGCCGTGCCGTGCTTCACGTTTGGGATCTCGTGGTGCCAAGGAGCCAGGATTGGGGCCATGTCCACTTCTTCCAAGCCGACCTGGGCCGCTTTGATCGCTTCGACCGAGAGAAAACATAATTCAAGAGAGCTCCGCACGGGAGAAAACGGCAAGGAACCACCCCGAACCTCCTAGAATTTGTGGTGCACAACTTCTGTGGTGCACCTTACAGTCAGTGGTTTTTCATGCCTTCTCACCTCCCATCATCGCGATTCCGACGAGTGCTAGCTGCTACTTGAATAACACCTTTGGGGTGAGCGGCTCCCACCACGCGGCGCACATCCGTGGCAACCAGTGCACCAGTCTCCACCTGGCCAGCTGGCATCCGGCTCGGTCCAGGAGCTGGAAGGAGCCAAGTAACGCAATGGCCTCCAACCTACTAGCGAAGGCCTCCCACCTAGTAGTTTCTAGCTATTATATAATGCATGAAAACCAATAACCTGTAATTATATAATTTGGGTCTATCCCACCAGGGCCCAGTGGATGATGGTGAGGTTGCAGGCCAACATCTCTAAAATAGTGATAATTGATTTGCCGACTCTTACAGGTAAATAGGACAAAAACAATATATAATGCAAATCAATATCTTACATGTGACGGAAGCTGGAAGTCATTTCCACCTTGCAAGCACCCAAGAACCATCTAATGTAAAACAAAAGGATCCCTCATCCGAAGTAGTTTTCATTTCCTCGCATTGTGTTTGCGCATGCTTGCACCATCTACTTGGCAGGACTCTTGATGTGGCATCCTTTATTAGGCAAACAAAGCAGTGTCTATATTTCTACATAATGTAGAAGGACAACAACGTACGCACTTCGTGTTTAGTGCCCCATTGATAAGTTGTGAATCTCAAACAAATGGTCTCCAAGTGACAAGGTGGCAGCCATTGTCACAAGAAACTTACACACTTTGTTACCCTCATGCGAACTGCTACAATCAGCCGCGGAAGTCACGGCATACTAGGAATAAAATTGTGTTCCCCAATGAAAAGGCGACGCCAAGAGAGGGGTCCCGGCGGTCCCGGCATAGTCCTTGCAAAAATGTTGTTCCCGCATGTAAACGTGATGATTTGTGAATGCTTTTGGTGTGTTCTCCCCAACACCGCCCTCATGTATTCAAAACAATGTTCCCGCATGTAAACGCCATCATTTAGAAATATCATTTAACCATGTTGTGCAAAAACGAGGTTCCCGCACGTAAGCCCGATGATTTGGCAATGCTTTTGATGTGTTCTGAAGTTCCATCCGAAGCACAATTTTATTCATGTATTCACAACAAACTTCTGGCATGGAAACGCAGTGACTTAGCAATGATGTTAACCTCCTTGTGGTCCCTTGACATCTCTTTGGACCGGGCTCTGGACAGTTTACTTGAGTCACACAAGTTGCAAAGAGGTATAGGAACGAGGATGAACGAGAAAGTGAACGAGGTCAGAACCCGTGCCACCAAGGAAAGCCCTCAGAATGAAAACCTCTAGTTACCTCATCATGCATATGCTTTCGCCCCTGTCCTTCTTTCTTTCTTTCCTTCCTTCCTTGTCTCCCCGCTTGTCTGCTGTGATCGGCGTTTTGTCTGCCGCTGCTGCCTTGTCTTCTCCCCAACTAAACGCAACATCGCCACGACTTGAATAGATTCAAATCCCCAAGTAAACGCTTCAAAAATTGAATGTCGCCACGACTTCAACATCTGAGAGTATCTCTACACTAATTGCATGAAGCCCCTGTTTCAACAAAGGCAACTTCTTTTGATCTGTAAGTGAATGGCAGGCACAACAAATCAACTCATGGATTTGACCTGTTCAACATCTCCCTGCTTCCGCCTGCAGCTCGATAGCATTGCGGATGTGCACAAAGTGCACCGAAGCTCCTGCAGTAACCAAAGGATACGGACAAGCAAGGTCTGGCCCCCTGTCGTGTCAATGAGAATGAAGCGAGCGCAAAACATGGTGAGTTGCTTATCACATTCGCTAGCTTCTTGAGATTCACCAAACCAGCTACTGAGGGAACTGCTCACAAATCCAAAGACTTGGTCACTTGATTGTACCCTGCAGCCGCAGTTGGGCAACACAAAAAGGTACTGGGAAAACACAGTGTCATCCAACATGGCCTTCGCTGGTGGTGTAGAGAAGCCACAGGCCACCAGTTGCTTCCACCAGCTGAAGTTCAGTGACAAAAGCCTCAGTTCTGACACTGTACTACCAACCACCCTACACTACAAGATAAGGCTTTCATTGGACAACCCCCAACGGATGGTCGCATGCTTGAAACATAACTAATTCATCTGAATCATTCCGAATTCCGCTCCAAGCTTGAAATGATGCGAAATGCGTTTAATCTGCTAGACACGTCTGTAATTCAACAACCGTTGTGCCTCAAGGGCTCCCTAAACCTTGTACTGCATTACAAACCCCCGAACTCCGCTAAGTCCTATTTTGCTCACCATGTGGTGATGTTTTACTACTCCCCTGCAGAGGACCACATAGAACCCCAAAACCACTGGGTTTGTCTTCAGAAAATGGTCGAAACCACGGGGTGAATTTTCACATTCCATGGGAGTGTTTGCGGGGGGGTTGAAGGTTCAAGGGCTTAAACTGCTCAAACACCTGAAACCGTTCGGAGCATCCAAGGGACCGTGTTCAGCTCAGTGGTACAGCTGGCTGGCTCAGGTGCCAAGCCCAAGGGCGACAACAGCAGCGAACGCAAGGAAGGCCTCCAGCAGTCCCCACAGATCCAAAGATTTGAGGATTTTGTTTGGTTCAAGTATCAAGAAAAAAAACAACTGGACAACATTATTTGAGGATACCCAAATACACCAGCTCGTGGCATTCACGCTTGGATTTCTAGGTCTTAGTCTACTCAGTTTGCTAATATGACCTGGGGCCAATCAAACAGGGCCTTTGGCCATATCTCGGATGGATTTATACTTCAGGTCTTGGCTGCTCAGGCGCACCGGGGTATGCCAAAGTCATTTCCAAATGGAGGTGCACTGTCCAGTAAACATGATTGAAGATGAACCACATTGAACGCACCCAGCCCTGAATGAGAAGAACAAAGCACAAAACAATCACAAACATCAAATCATGAAAGCTAAGCACGCGCTTCCCCAATTCATCTTCCTACTTTCACAATACATCCTCGGCCGTCAGTATCCTTTGAACAGCTCCTTACTCCTTCTTCCATCGCAAAACAACAAAAGAACAACGACGACCAAGCGCCGCGCTCGACCGATCGACCTGCCGCTGGTCCCTCGAAAGGCCACCACAAAGGACTCCTTGGGATGGCCCGAGCCCAAACTCGCCAAGAAGTCCTGGCCGCGGCCTCTTTCGGGTTGAAGAAGTGTGGGTTCAAGTGCCCGGAGGTGTGGGTGGATTCGTCGCTGTGAGGGCAGCGTGGTCCCTGGAGTTGGGTAGGGTGACTTAGCGTTGTTGGCGTAGCGGCTTTGCTGACAAATGACTCTTCAGCAGTCAAAAAGCGTCCTTCCTAGGCCTCCACACGCCTCAACAAAACAGGAGCACCCCGCCACATGTGGGTTGAGATTTGCTGGGAAAGTCTCTATGTCGATCGCCAGGAGGTGCATGGCATGGCAGGTTTGTTTTCAAGGATGTCGACATCCGTGGCCCATGGCATGGCACAAATCCTCTCTCACACAGTGCCTGGGGGTGCCAACACTGGAGATTATCCTGGAGATTCCCTCATGGACATAGTTCATGTGAATTAGACGGGTTTAGGTTTGCTGATACGCTATATATATATATACTTTGATCGCTGATGCTAACCACAGGGTTAAAACATGTTAGTGCATGTTACTGTACTTTGTCCCAATATCAAATATAATATATCTCTCAAACATATCTCAAATAAATGCCTAACACCAAACTTCTGCTTGCCTCTGCTTGCCCTAACCAGCTCGCCACCTGCCCTGTTCCCAAGAAAGGATCAACACGGCCGCATCACCTGGTTGGATGCGTCATGCACAGTGGCCGCGTCGCCCCAAGACCATACACCTCGGTGGGTCTGGTGTGTGCGTAGGTCAGTGGGTCTGTTGAAAGGTCTTGGCCTGCTGGGTGAAACATCTAGGAAGCAGGACATCACCACACAAACAATAGCTTGGCAAAATGCTCATGCACCTCCACCTGTTGATAACTCTGTTGAATGATGTCAACCAGCCTGTGCAAGGATGTCAAAGGACATCAATGGACTCTACATGTCACGTCATCTCACTCAACTCCTCAGACCCTGCTTGACGGTAGGCCTGCTCGCTGGTGGCCAACCGTCACCAGCAAGGCTCCTCAAAGTTCTGGGATCAAAGCGAAGAAATGCTGTGAATTGTCATCTTGAAACACACAAAAAATGCCTGGATGTGCATCCAGGAACTTGACGACCCGCAAAGGCACCCTGTAAAAGAAACTACATATATATATATTATCTATATCTTGTTTATATATATATATATTAGCCTATATATTAGCCTAATTTTCGTTTGGTGTGCTCATTTCCTTGTGGGTGTCCGAATTAAAATTGGCTCACACACCGACCAAACATCGATGGGCGATGTCCGACGCCGAATGAACGATCGAATCATCGGCCAGCGTGGAGACGTCACCAGCCCGTCGCCAGCCGTTCTTTTTCTCGGGTGACCAGGAAATCCGAATCCATCACTATGATTCCAGGGAGTGTCTCCGATTCCATCATTACACTGCCATGTTTGTAACAAACATGCGGTTAAATCCTTGGCCCATTCATCAAGCCAATCACAGCGGACCTTTTCACACGGAGAATCCCTTTGAATTTGAAGCCCCAAAAGCATCTCCATCACTTCGCCTTGAATGCCTTGACCCTGAGGTGAAATGGTGGGAAAATGCGCACCTGGAGTAAACCTTAGGGCCTTAGGGTGTCGGAATCCTGTTGTTTGTCATTCTTTAGGTGGTAGAATGCGTTAGATGCTGCAAAGCTTCTTTGCCAGAACGATAATGTTCTCCCACCTTGGATGTTGACCTCTCATTATTTCTTTAAAGTTGGCCACTGTTGTTGTTGTTGTTGGGTGTTGTTGCTGCTTCCAATTGATGCCAACTTGGTTGTGTGCGAGTATGCGAGTGTATGGGAGTGTAGATCGACACTCCCCACCGTGAGATGCTTCAAATGAGCAATTGAGCCAGGTGAGTTCAATTTTAACTGCTAAATAGTGCGTGAGTTAACTACAATTGACCTATATAAACATGTTGATATGATATAATCTAAACACAGGCATAGAATAAACAGTATTAATGCAATTCACAACTGGAAACACACAAATGCTCAAAATGCCCAGCTTAGCATTCTGAGACTCCACATCAAATGACTGTGCATCATTGTGCACTCGTCCGTCACCGCCGCTCCGCCCCTCCCCGCCGCCCGGGTCCCGATGAGGTGAACACCACGGCGAGTCCCTCGTTGCCACCGTGGAGGCTCACGGCCAGGCTACGAGCACCTCGTGGGAACGTCCAAGGCGACGGAGGCGATGGTCCAGCATCGTGCGTGTGTTTGGAGCACCGAGAAGTGCGCTACTTTGCGGGTGGCGATGGGTGGCGAAGGTTGGACAGGAGATGGAAGTGCTGTCCAAAGCATTTTGAAGACACCGGCGAAGTGCTAGGATTGCTCAGGGCAGTGAAAAAGTGATCCAGTGAAGCTATGAAAGCAAACAGTTTACATATATCAAAGGATATCAAGGTGTAAGATATCAAATCAATATAGTGTATAATATATATATATAGTTTGTTAAACGTATCTTATTTATGGAAGACGGATACATTTTAAAACATACAAAATACAAGCCGGAAAACAATAAAAAACACAAACAAAACAGCACCGTGTATTCACTGTGACTGACTGGCCAGCTCGGTCGTCCAATAAGCACGATCCATTTTGCAGGCACCGAGTGAGAAACATGGCACTCGTCGATGGTGAATGGCCCTGCTCCACCAGTTTATGTAATTCATTGTAGTTCCGTATATTCTATTGAACACGGTAATAGTTGGCACCCGTTTCAAACATGGCTCATGGCTCTTCAACGGTCTAATTCCATCCACTTCCATCTTCCAACTTCAGGAGTACCAAGGTAAAACCCTTGGGGGTGAACTCTACTTTCACCTCAAAGAGGGTACTTCACCCTGCCGCCCTGAAAAACGCCCTCTCGGCGCAGCCCTGGTGAGCGTGAAACAGGACGCAACATCGTTAAATGTTAATTCGTTGGAGTCGGTTCATTGTCATTGTGGGCTCTTTGAGTGAAAGAAACGTGTGCTTGAAATGAATTGGTAATTTTACAAGTGAGCTGAGAATATAAAGGTTCCCTCCCGCGGTCAAACATTGTTTGTTGTTTATCGTTTCTATGTGGAAACCAGTGTAGGGACCACGACTTGGCTGAATCAAAGGACCACTGATCTCACCAATTCCCCGAAGCGCCTGCTGGTACACCAGCGGTGTAGAACAGTCCTGGTGGTGGAATCACTCGACTCATTATCACATGGCCAAAATGCGCCATATGAACACACACACACACTGCAGGAAAAATAAAAACTAGCGATGGATCCTGTAGATTGAGCTGTGTCGATATTTTTATTCGCAACACTTAGCTCTAAAAACCATAAGATTGCATGCGCAATGCACAACAACTGTTCCTATGCAAAGGATTGGATCTTCAAGGTTGCTGTTGCTGCTGCTGCAGGAGAATCTGGTGTTGCATTCTGGGTGAGGAAGAATTCAGAACCACCTGCCCATCCATCCTACAATCTGAATCCAGCCATTGGAGAAAACAAATGGTCGTACGCAGCAACCGCCTTGATATTCCGATATGTCTGATCAAGAGACCAACAAGTCTTAACATCGCCGGACCCAGGCTAACTCTGTGAATCTTGAAAATGAAAAAACATCAACAAACACATGCAAAAAAGCATGCAAACAAAACAACAAAAACGGCAAATCCAACATAACAAAAACCAGCAAATGAAAAAGCAAAAGCAAAAGATCACAAATCCAACAAAACAACAAACAAAACATCAACGGAAAAACAACATTTACATGTTAAAGCAACACACAATGAAACCGCACACGCAAAAAACCTGGTGTCCTGTTTTGATTGTTTGTTTCGCTCTCTTTTGAGGCCATCCTGTTTTTCGTATTTTGTTTCATGTGTTTTTTTTGTTTTTGTTATATGTATATATATATATGTTGTTGTTGTTTTTTGGGCCTTTCGGGGACGTTTTTTGTTTTTTTTGTGTTCGTTGTTGGTTTATTTATGTTTTATGGATGTGTGATTTTTGTAGCTGTTTTTTTGATTGCTGTTTTTTTTTTTAATGTTATTTGGCAAAACCATCAGAGATATGCCAAGCGGTTTACTTAAAACAAGTCCATCAGTCACACGGCTCTGAGCTTTTGTCACAAATACACAAACCTATGCCACCAGCTGCCGGAGGTTCCAACCCGCGAGCTGCGGTTCCACCAGTCCTGCGGAGTCCAAGCGGAGCTCCGGCACTCGTGTGCAGAAGAAGCTGGGCGGCCCCTCCACGTTGGTCAAGGTCACCTGTGGTGCCACGAGGCTGAGACAGGGCGTTGGGAAGAAAACGGGAGCGGGGCATTTAAAACGTCCTTGCTCCTAGTAGCGATGCCCTTTGTTCAGGAGCCCCTAGTAGCGTCCTTGCTCCTAGTATTGCATGGAATGATCTTGGAGTTGGAACATGGTTTGACTTTGATCCTTAGAGCAAACTACAGCTAAACACCAGCAGCTAGTGACATGAGCTGTGTCAAGCGGATATAAATTTAGTTAACTGGGTTTACAAATGTTTACCTATGTCATCGTTATTTGCCGCTACACGTACATTGCAAGTACCACGGCCGGGGGTGGTGCCCCCTATGAACCAGTCTGGCTAAAACCTGTCAGCTGAGGTCCAAGCCCGGCTCCAACCTCGCCCTTAGATCCTTCGAGGAACATCTGGAGACTTCATAGTCTTGCTAAACACCTAAATCTTCAATTCTAGAAGACCTAGTCTCTAGACTCTAGACCATGTCGCTTGACGATCCAGCCGTAGCTGCTGGACGACCGTCACCACCGGATTCGTGCCCGTTGATGCGGCAGGTTCCAACTGTTTGGCCAAAGATCTGATGCGAAAGATCCGAAAAGAAGGCCATCATGTTTACATCATCCAACTCCGAAAAATAAGAACATCATGTAGACAGGTGACTTTGGTTGTAACTCATTTTCTGGGATGTACCGTGTGTGCGCCGTACAGGAAAAATGTGGAAACATGTTCTCGCCTGTGCACAAAAAATCGTGCAACACTTAAATCCTGCTTCTGATCCGAAGCAAAACTCGGAGAATTGATGTATTTTTGTTGTTTTGCGTTGGTGGTCTCTTTTTTATCTGTTTATCCCTCTCCTATGCATGTTTTCGTCCCCCGAACACACTAAATTGAAGATATTGAAGGCTAAATGGAGGGTGTGTGGAGGTAGGTGGTCAGCAAAAATAGCTTATACAAAGTTAGTGCATCGAAAATACCTTCCGCGAAGTTCTGTGAAGGTTTGATAAGGTTTGTGGGCTTTTGTTGCAGTCAGTTTTGCTACTGGCCACCGCTCCACGAAACGTCCACGAATAGCCCCGGGTTGCATGAATGTCCTGGACCTTCCACGATGTTAGCAGAATAGGTTTTTGCAAAACTCTTTCTGTGCTGTGCACTATCCTTCCGTTGGCCTCTTGTAAATACTGAGACAAAATACTATATAACCATATGGTCAATGCAAAAGAAAACTCTTGCAATTATACAATAATGACCACACAAAGACCAAAGTTCTTTGAGAGATTCGATGATTAGCTCTTGGCACATTTGGGTACTCACGTCCGAGCCATTTTCACCTCCAGCCACAGGAACACGACTGTAGTCACTACTAGACAGTAGAGGAGGTGTAGTTTCTTCACCATGCGGTCAAGCGGCGGTCGTGATGGTTTTGGTGCTGGTGGTGGTCCATGGTGCAGTGTCTGTAACGGTGGTTCGTGTGGATGTGGATGTACCTGAGGTGCTGTCAGCGTCAGCCGAATCTGACCTACGAAGTCGAAGCCGACCACATCTCTCACATTGGGCTCCAACAAGATCCAGTGTGGTTTTCAAAACCGACCAATGAACTGTGTTTGGCAAAAATGGCTTAAAGCACCCGCCGGCCACAAAGGTCTTTGTATTCAACGCAAACAACGCAAACAAAAGGGAAGACAGGAAGACACGATTCATACAACATGAAGAAAATGAACAAGCACCCTACCGGTCGATCGTTATTATTTTTAATATGTTGTCTGACGTTCCCAACAAAACAACATCGATCCAATGTTGATCACAGAAACGCACTGAAACGAACCACCATGTAGGGTAACGTTCAAGTAACACACCTCGGGCACACAGATTGTTGGAGAGGTCCACCAGGAGCGATGTTTCACACCTCTACAACACTCTGCAAGAGGTAAAATGTGTGTAGCCAATGCTATCGGTCACAACCCCGGCACCCCTGGTGGACGCCCTGAATGCACAACGCGGAATAGCAGGGATGGATTTACAATGATTTACATCTATTTTTTGAAATATGGAGATTAACGTCTTAGATCTAGAGCACAATGATATGGATACAGGGAGTGCCGATTTTGACCCACATCCATATCGGGACCTCTGTTGACCTCGCAAACTTGAGAAAATCTTGCACATTCTTGCTCCATCCAAGATACCTGTCAGGATGGCGCTTGTGGTGGAGATAGTGGTATTCTGCTCCTTCGGCGCAAAGGTAAAAGAAACATGATTGATTGAGAATGCGGAAACCAATTGACAACTACACTATGGACACAACTGGAACATAGGGCGAAGGTTGCTAGTGACTTTGCACATATATTGTCCATGCAGCAAGTCAAGGTCATACAGCTGAACGCCAGGTTGGTTTAGTTCACACCATTGGTGTTGCCGGCTCCTATTTTCATACATCTGCCATGTCCCACAAACAATTTCCAGTTCGGCGTTAGCATGTCATAAGTCATATCATATTATATGAGCTGCAGCGGTAGTTATGATACTAGACTCAAACACACTGCATATCTATTCTGTGGGGGCCATATCTCCTTTAGACTACTTTAGTAGGAGGTCATGTCACAATGTGGAACCGATCTCGTTCACCGAGCGAATACTGATGTTGGACAAACAAACTTGAGAGGAAGGGGGTGAACGAAAGGTAGCGCAGCACCGCGTTTGGAGAGAAACTGCACGTGGAAAAAGAGTCGAGGTTGTATGGGAGAGACGAACGTGTGTGCTTATCAGCCAAGTTTGTGGCCACTTTGAAGCCTACATAGCTTAAAACGATCGATATTTACAGGGCTTTGTGCCGGGAAGGTGCACAAGACCATGTAAATACCGTAGTGTTTTGCAATTTTGAAGCCTCCAAAAGCCGAAAAAGCCCTTTCCGACATAATCTTTCCTGGTTTGGGGCAATTTTTCGGCATGTTTGAAGCCTAGACACCCCATCGGTTTTTACGAGTTTTTTTGCCGGACAGCCACATAAAACCCTGTACATTGCGTGGTTTGAGGCCACTCTTGAAAACTGGAGGAGCTGAAAGCCCTGGTATTTACGGTGTGTTCTAGCCGTTGACAAAGAGGCCCGCCAGGGTGGAGTTGAAAGGGGGGGGCCCGCCACTAAACCACAATGTCCGAGGCGATTTCTCAGTGAGATGGGCTTCCACTCTGGTTATAGATAATTTTTGCTAAAGCAAAAGAACAACTCAGGTAGCGTAACCGCTACCTTTCGTGATAGAGCATGTCGTAGACTATTTTATACAGTCAAAACGAAAAGAAGCGGTTGCTGGTTGCTCGTATGGATTTGCATCATATAGATAGATAGATAGATAGATAGATAGATAGATAATGATAGATAGGTAGATAGATGGACGGCACGCATTCTCTCACCCAGTGAAGTCAGCCTCCTCTGCGATGCTGGAGGCGTCTGTGATCACCTGTTGGCACACCCACAGATCGCACGAAGACGAAAACACATGTTGAAACTCTGTCCGGCTGGCCTTGGGCTTGTATCAAATGAGGGGTTTCCTCGTTTCAGTTCCAGCATGAAATGCTTGGGATTCCCGGTTCCCAGTATGAAAAAGGACTCGTCTCTCATTCTGAGCTTCCTGCAGTACTCGCAAAGAATGTGGTGCTCACGGTAAAGCTGATCCCTGCCAACTTGGTTCACAGCGCGGGCAACACAATCAACGTCCGATTCATATGAATGAAAGAAGGTCAAAGCAAATCTTCGATTGACCTGGGAATTCAGATTCTCCAAGCATCTCCAGAATCATCCAATCCAATGAGTCGGGACCCGGGAATGTAATTATCTCAGTCTCATCCGTTGGTATCTCATCCAAACCTACAAGGCCAACTGAGTACACCTTCGGTCACCGCTATTGGAAAGCCAGGTGTTGTCTCTTTGGAGGGTGTTGACTCTGGAACTTGACTTCGCACAGAATGTGTTCCATATGTACTTTTTTTTGTGTTTTCCCTTTTGATCTTTCTTGCTGTAAAAGCAACACTCTTGCCGAAACTCCACTGCAGGCTGAAAAGTGAAGCAAAACTAGCTTGGTACCCACTGGATTGATGCAATACCTACCTGGCAGGCGTTTTGATTTGGCCGTGCAAGGAACCATAACTATAATCTAGCTCTAGGCAAGATTCACATGCACAATTAATTCACTATCAGTGTGTATCAACGTCTCAGTTCCAAGAGTTCATTACTTTATTGTCTTGCACATCTGCTATGCACCTACAACACAAAGTCCCAGAAAAATAAACATGAAACAACAACCTACTGTAACAACAAATTGCGCTCCCAAACAAATGCTCCGGAGCTCCCAATTGTGTGGGTGTGCAAAGTGGAGCAAAGGGCTTGCTTGTGAAAGGTACAAGCAGCACCTGGAAAAGCCGCTGTGCTTCCTGGAAGAGCAGCTGTGGCAGTGGAGATGAACAAATGACATCCAACCAAGCCTTCGAGGTGGGATCTAGACTTGATCCACCCAGAAAGTTTCATGCACAAAACTTGATTCTGGATCCAGTGAATCCAGTGGAACCATGCAACTGCAACTGCCGATCACTTCCCGCCTGTGTCGTTGGACCAGTTCTCGAGTTCTGAGGCATTTGAATGCGTCCAATTCTCCACCTGTGGCAGTGCGGAGCTTCCTGGCTGCTTTCTCCAAATAACCAACCAGTCGTCACCAGGAGTTCCAAAGGGGTGGAATCTAAACATATAAGTTATAGTATTAGCTATTGAAATACTATATAATGGGCACCCCCAATCCAATAACTAACCCTTGGAATTCCAAATCACTGATCACTGTACCCAAAGCCTTTCTTGTCCAAGACCACCTAAGGAACCGGAAGCTTGGGGATACATATGTTACCCCTGTCAGAACTCCTGGCTCCCGAACCCTAGGTTCTGGGCCCAAACCTGCCGCTCACCCGGACGGCCGACACGTCGCTCACGTCGCTCGCTGCGGCGTAGCGGGGTGCGAACGACCGCCACATGCCCAGAGTGGGTTTAGACTCAGACAACTTCAGTGGCATTCGCAGCTCTTTAGCCATAACAAACTTGCTGAAAACGACGAGGGTATCCAAGATAGGAAGCTCTTCATGACGATCATGCCCTCAGATTCATCATGCGGATGAACATGTCCTCTGTGAGTTGTCTACCTGGTCTCCCTATCGATGACTGATAGTTGCCCTTCTGGTGGCGTCGTGGGTCGTGTAGGCGCTCATCTGCGAGGGTCCCACGACTCCTATCCAAACCTTTGCAGGCTTCGTATGGCATTATTTTTAAGCTAGTGTGTGAGTTCTTCACATCTGATCCAAAACAAATCATGTCAGCTTTTCTGATGTTGCAAGTTGCCATATCCAAAAACCAACCAACCAGTGGTAACCAGCACCCTTACAGGGGGTGCTAGAAGATGCTGCGGTGAAACCGGGACAAACAGTCCGCAAGTGCGTGCTCCCAATCAATCCCATTTGGGCGAAGACGTCCAAAACAGCCATCCAGCTATTTCAAGTCCCTGTGCTCGTCCAGTGCCGTTTCCACCAGATCCAAGGTTGAAAAGTAGTTGGAGGGGTCCAACTATATAGGGATTGGATCATTTCCGGTTCTAGTGGAATCCTTGAAATCCCACGTACTGGATCCTTGAAATCCCAGTTCACGCAGTTCACAGCAATCCCAACTACTGGATCCCGGTCGCGATTTTTACGTCGCACCTCGGTGCTCCTTCCCGTGGTTGACCTCCCATGAACAAAACGGCACCGGGAAGTGCAATAGGGAGACACCCCAAAGACATCCTTGGATCCAACTGCTAAACACAACAAGAATGCTACTCTCCCTAGAATTTGCCTCATGGAGCAAATAGCAGAAACACAAGTGTCAAACAAGACAACAAGACCCATGCCAGACTGCTGTTTGTTGCATGGGTCACGGGTCCCTCATTTAGTTCCATTGCCACACATGGCACTCTTTATGGCATGCATGCTTGCCATTCACATGCATAGCACTCAGTTGCCTACTTTGCAGCACGTGGCAGACTTGTGTGCGGCGTTGATGCTGTATAGCGTAGTCACAGAGTGGAACATGATAAATTGACACCAGCCCACTTGAATGGCCTAATCGAGCCATGTTGTCCAAAGAAGTACTACAGGACAAATGATTTGAATGCAGAGACATGCAAAGACAATCAAAAACAATGTTGTTTCTGTTCTTGGTATAGTTAAGCTATATAGTTACATATATATATATATTGTGTGCGAACGGGGTATCCAAAATCACTGTGAATTAGTTAGGGAACGACTACCTTACATTGCATGATCAAAAGTTCTGTTTATTGAAATACAGAGACCCTCCAACCAGTAGATCTGTATTTTATAAGTCAGTTAAAAGACCGAAAATAACACATGTGTTTTTCTATGTTTGTGTGCATTAGTTGAGGGACTCAGGTGACCATCCCTGAACCCGATGCAGCCTCGTTGTGCTCGTCTCCTTGGATTCGTGGTCAACCATTGTGGGTGTCTGAAAACAAACATCTCATCGAACCCCAAAACTGACTGGTTTGTAAATGAACATGGTCTTTACAAAAATGCAATGATATTTTCTTGATGCACAGGAGTGCACTATGTGTACCGGTGAGTGATAAGGTCAAGGCTGAAGCCTGCGAGTGCCTCTCTCTATACTCTACAGGAGGAACCAATGGTTTCAGTGTCTATTCTTCATAGTAAGGACAAAGGTGATTGACTCTACAATCTCTACAACTGATCCAATGCATCCAAATTCTGAGCAACAAAAATTACTATATATGTGGGCTGCATCTGCGGAATCCATCACATGCCCTGTGCCCTTCTGTTTGATCCTTCAGCCTGCTTCCGGACAGTTTGAGCAAGGCTTCAGAACTTGAGTTGGACAGTTGGACAGTGACCCCCTGGTCCAATTGGAGCATCACTCTACCACTGGTGTCAAAAGACATGGCCAACCACACCAAAAGTGACATGGTGTATGTATATATATATATAGTTATATATAAAAAGAGAGAGAGAGAGAGTTCAACAACAATAGAATGCATGTCATGTTGAATTGTCCTTTTGAGCATTCCTATTTTGAGACCGACCCGCGTACATTACATGACATGTTGGACGTGTTCCAGACCATTCAACACCCCCGCTTTTTGGTTTGCTACTCACTCGCGACAACGAGTCCGACCAGGGAACGGTGAAACTGCTGGATGTGGTGGAGGTCGTGGAAGAGGAGCTTGCAGACCTTGTCATTGGCAACATGATTTGTCATGGGTCATGCAGGGTGCATGGTTCACCTATCCCTCATCCGTTTATGAGAAACAAAGATCTGCCACTTGGTCCATCGCACCAGTATGATAGCTTTATGATAGAAGCTCAGTTCTATGAATCTGGAACACATTATATAAGTTGAATGCGACACTGAGGACATTGCAGTACCAATCTAGCCTGCTGTTACAAAATGTTCCAGGGAGTATTTGTGCAGCAACCAGTGTTTGAGCTTGCAAACCAATCTGAGCGAAAGATTGAACAAAAACACCAAGTGAAACACAACAATGTACATATATATATATACATATATACTCTTTACCACAAAGATACAGTAGAAGATATTCGGGAATTGGTTCCAATAGACGATGCAATTTTGGGAGTGCCGGGAGAGCATTTGAATTACAAGTAGAAGACATACACTGCCGCAGAGGTAGCTCCTGAGACCCAACTTGGCCTTTCTTGGTCAAAACCTCTTGAGCGAGGTTGGAAGCCTGATTTTACTGGTATTCACAGCAAATCCTCCTGTTTATCCCTAACATGGCTCAGAGCTCACCAGAGTAACATTTCTGGATTTTTGCACCAGATCTTCCGGTCTGGGAGCAACTCTTGCAACATTACCATTTTGGTCTTGACCAGGGAAAAAGTGACAAAAACCTCGTTTTTTTTGTTTTGGGACGGCTTTTTGCCGAGTCATCAAAAATAAGAAAGTCAAATAGATGGTTTTATTGGCAGTCAAATAGAAAATATTGCATTCTTTTTCTTGGTGGGGTCATTTTTATGCCATATTGATATTAACAATATATTCTATTTGACTTTGTTCCCTTTTCTATGCAGAATTGGGCCCATCCTTTTCATAGCATTCCAAGCAAACAACAGCCATTTCTGCACATACAATATTGTATAGTATATACATAATTATATATATATATATTTGAGTTTCTGAAGAAAACATCCAGGATTCCCTGCTTTTAGCTGTCCACCACATGCTTTCAGGGTGCGGGCAGAATCCCTGAATACTAACACAGTAGCAATGGCAGAATCGGACAGTCAATTAGAAGATCCAAGTTAAATAGAAGAAACCACCACAAAATTCCACAATCAAACTGAAGATATATGAATTTAAGCAGAAAGTCCAAAATGCCAAAGTAACTAAGAAGACTCAACATGTTATCATGTTGATCTAATAATTACCGTTATTACTGTTTGAGTTGTTTGCTGGAAGGTGCCCGTGTACTGTTCAAATAGAATAATTGAGGTATATAATGACTATATATATATCTCTTATTGTACGGACGTAAATCGACAAGTAACATCTGTACCCGGCTTGCACACCAAAGCCTTCGCCGTGTGGCGTAGTGGTCCGCGAGATGAAGGTTCGTGTGGAGGTGGTGATCGTGGTGCTGACAAAGCCTTGGAAGTAGCCTGCAACAGTGAGGAGTGGATAACAGGGGTAAACAACAGAAACATGGGGTACACATTTGGTCCAGTATACATCATTACTGATGATTCTGCTGAATATTCTTAAATGTCCCATTTAGTGTTGCTTCAAAGGTCCCATCTAATAGTTTAAAAATCAACAAGCATCATGCTGATGTTGCGAACTTCTGGAGCACCTGAGTTGCATCGGTCCTCCCAGCATGAACATAGAATTTCATGCATCCGGAGTTGTGAAGGATGTGGTGTGTTCAGCAGCAGAGATGAGATGAAAGTATGACCACTCACTACTTTCTGGGAAGTCTCTCGGGTGTGTTCACCGTTCGCCCCATCCTGTACAACAGTTGTTGAACAAAATACACAAGGGATGCAAAGCCAGCTGAAGCTGTTTCAAAAGGAAGCTGCGCATGCACCGAGGTCATCCAAAGCACAATCTCTGAATTGAACCTGGCGATACTTGCAAAGGAGTACATGAGTGCTTGCAATCGAAAGTCATGCTAGTCCTCGGGTTGGCAGTCGAGGACTAGGAACGTGCACTAGGCTCTACATCATCTCAAAAATATATAGCACCCTGGCATTCTAAGAAACATTGACTTCAGAAATCGTTTTCAACATGTTCAAACTGCTCTTCCTTGTCGTGATGGTGTGTATCTGTATGATTCTTTCTGTATGATGTTGGTGGTCCTGGACAAAACGATCCAACTTCAAGCTTCATTAATAAGCAGTCGACACGCAGTCGACTCAGTCGACTACTGATCACATCGAAACCAACTGAAGGCATGTCGTTAACACCCCGATATTCGCGGGCGTCGTGTCTTTGGATCATACGCGCACATCGGTCCTCTATTTGTTGAAAAACAAACACATCCAAAAACTGGACATGGCCGAGAACCATCAAGAACCTTCTCGGCCGTTTCAGCTCGTCGCCTGATCAAAGAGAAACACCTCCTTTCCTTCCTCGGTCGTCGCCTGGATCCACCAGGTGCCCGTCTTGGCACCGCAGCTGCGCCGGCACCGCCGTGCGCAGCTCCGTCGCACAGCGTGGCCGGCAGCGCAGGCCGTGGCGGGTGACGCCTGGGGAGCGGGAGAAGGGGAGGTCGGGAGGGGGAGGAGTAACACTAAAAGAGCCCAAATCACAAAGAACATCCAATAGTAACCAGAAACAACGTGTTTGCAATAGTTTACCTGTGTTCACCCCATGCCTAACTATATAGGCAAATATAGTGATGTGTCTGTGCATGGAAATCCATTGCATCATTGCATTCTTCTTTGTTATGTGTTCTCCTCCTCAAATTTGAGACTTTTCCGTGTCGGAAGCACTCAGGATCTCTCAGGCAACCCCCCACGACCAACAACAGGGGGACCGGAAGTCATCACATCGACCGTCGAAGGGTCGCCGAGGCGACGTCCCATTCACGGTCACCGAACCATTCGACCAAATCTGCTCGCCTTGCGCACAAACTGGGCTCATCGTGAAAGGCACGTTCTCCTCGTTTCGAGGTCCGTGAAACGTTGTTACATATTTGTTAAACAATTGGATAGCCATAAGAAGAAGAGCTGTATTATTCAAGGTTATTCCATCTAATTATTCGAGGTCATTACAACTTATGGTGTAGTGGCAACAAAGCTTTCTAGAGGCGGCTAGAAAGCTTATAGTATCCCAAATTCAACATTCATATGACCATCTCTACCAGAACCAGATACGTGTTCTTTTGATCCACACTAGTGTGTCTGAGCCTGTCTGTGACCAAATTAGTCGAAATGTCCAACATAGCGAACCAATACTCCACTCGGCACACAAGCGCACCAATATAAATCCTATGTTTTACAGCCCATTCATACTGATATTCCTGAAGCCATGGAATCCACTTGGATGACTTCTAACTTGGACAAACCTCAATCTTATTTCAATACTGCATAATGGCCATTGGACAAAGCTTCCCTCTGTTGTAGGGCAGGGGCAGCCCCAACACAATATGAATTGATTCCCAAGGGAGCAAAGGCAGGGACGTTCCCGTACTCAGCCTGCACTCGGCACCGCTTTCATATAAACAGTGGAGCCCTCCCTGTCCGAAGCTGCCGACATTGAGTCAAAGTACTCAAGCACAAACTACAGTAGCTACAGTGCCTCTTGGGATAGCTACAGTACCTCCAAGGTCACAAAGCCACTGAGACAAAGGCTGGACTGATAATCTGCTCTCTAGGAATTTCACAGGTTAGATCCATGTTACCTAGCCCTCTGGTGTGGCCTCTGCCTTTGTAACAAAGAACTCAACATATTGAAAGCTTATTAAACATCTGCTGACAAAAAGACAAAGGGGACTTCCTGCCCTGAAGAAGGTTGCACAGTTTCAGCAGCATATCATCGAGGAATCATCGGGATTCGACCCTTGGCTTTCTCCTGCTTGGCTACCATGATAACACTGCGACCCCCAAATGAAAATAGCTAAACTGTTGAACTACTACACAGTCATGGGTCCCACCCAGTTTTCACTGACAGAACCAAACCCCTTGCTCTGGACGCCCCCACGGGGCTCGCGCAGTCCAGTCCTCGGGGGCTGAGATCTGAGTCTTTCAACATAAAAAGAAAGGAAGGCAACATGGGGCAAGTCAGTGTACCTTGGGCATATCGGTATATCCCATTACCAGTGGATGATGATGGTTGGCTTGCAGGCCTTTCCATCTCAAAAAATAGTGATCATCTCATACTGCTGATACTGCTTTCCCGACAGCCATACCCAATGAGCGGACGTCACTTTCGGATCAGCAAGACCTGTCCGACACGAAAACTCCATCTTCGGACCGAAGTGGGAGCCCTTCGGTACCGAAGTGGTAGAAGGTAGTGAATTGGCGGCCATTGGTAGCATCTGACCTCACATACCATAGTAGCAATCCGTAGCAAATCTTGGAGTATTCAAAGCCCTTCAACTTCAACGAGTGTCATTAGATACTGGGCGTTGCTGACCGGAATCTCTGAAAAAGACATGATGAAACAAGGGTGAAGCGATGTCATTACCAGGTGAAAAAAGGCCTCGCGGCATTGTGAAGCGATGTTATGTCCTCAATCCGTACATAATACAAAAAGGTCAGAAGGAAGGAGAACCTCCACCAATCTCTGATGATTTGATGAAATATTTCATGTCATCAAACCATCCCTCGACCTGTCCGCAGGCTGAGCCGGAGTGGTTCTTCCTCCAAACAAATGCAGCTGCAAGAACTGTTCCTGAAAATTAAACTCACTGCCCACATGCGATCATATGGTGTTTTGCCGCCCGAGTGCTAGACATATACCTTCGAATTCACCCAATCGAAACTCCTGACTAGAATGTTACCCCAAATATGAGCGACACGTGCAGCTGCTCAACACGTCAAAGCCGAATCACTGGGCAAGTTGCCCGCAGTGGATCTCTTTTACACGCTGACACCCCGCTGCCACAAGGATGTATTTTAATAGGAAAACCGAGCCCCTGGCCCAATGGGACTGGGTCTACTTCTTCCAGGGGGTCGCCTGGGAGGTCTCCCTATTTCTATTTTCAATGCGCACGCACTTACGAGGGAATTGCAAGCGCAGCGCCTCAAACATCGCGCCAAGCGTGCATCATCTGTCTCCAAGCATCGACAGGCCACGGCGCCGCTGTACCAAAGCTCCCCGTCCACGCAAGTGACCTGCGCCATTCACGCACATCACTGCACCACATCTTCTTGGACCCAGCTTTGCAGGTCTCCAAATACATGGACCCAAAGGATTCCAAACACATTCGGGAGAAATGAATGGTGGATGTTAGATGTGTGGATTTTTAGAGTCAACTCCCCTCCCAAAACGGTTTCAAGCGAGGGACCTTGCTCAGCAAAACATACGCATTTCATTGTTGGTTGCACAGTCGCTTCATGGGGTGTTTCAAACTGAAACTGATGATTGGTAGCCGTTGCACCGTTTGAGGTGGATTTTAAGCACCTGTGCCAACGAAGAAATGGGATGCGTTTACGGGGTGCAAACCACCGCCTGTTTGGGCGACCTCCAAAACTGAGACTCCAGGAGAGTCCCAAGTGTCATGTGTTTCTCAAATTCTCAAATAAGCGAGTCAAGTGAGTATCGAACAAAAGTGCGGCGTGCGATGGTTAAAAAACATAAATAATTCAGCATGACAGAATAATGAGTCATCCTAGCCGGAGTCCATGTATAGATTTTATACTATATTACTAATATATATATATATATGTATATAGGTGGCCCCGATCGGAGGTTACCTACAAGTCCTATCAGAAGTTGATGGCATCTGATGACCAAATCATAGGCCCTTTATAACCCACGTCCCACCAGACTTTTTAAGATATGCCACATGGCCATGGAACATACACGACAGAGTCAATAGGTCACTCAGAGTCACAATGGTCAATGACAGTTGATTCCAAGTATCACAAATACTTTTTCACCGGTTTTCCGGTTTTCCATTCAACTCACCGGAAAGTCTTTCTTCAAGCTGAAAAAGAACAAAGAAGAAACTGAAGCTGCCGCAATCTTCCACACGCCAATATCTGAGAGATTTTGCCATGAAAACCACACGGCAAAGCCTCCCGCCCGGCCATCGATCAAAGCCCCCGCCTCGCCCTCACTGTGACTTCGGGCTGGACATCGAATGCTACAGGTCTGCCCATGCCTGACTTCGGAGCGGAGCGCCACCGAACACACCGGTTCCACACCGAGTTCCGTCCCCTTTCTAGCTCTGAGAAAAGCGACTAAAGAGACTTGGTCATAGACTGGGGTAAACTGAAATAGCAAGCGGTCGATGATTTCAGCGTTCTTTCGCTGATCTCGAATCAGTATATATACTACAGTCTATGCTACTTGTAGCACAAATTCAATACTCCCAAAAGCATCTTTTGTTGTGGTTGATCCTCATGCAGCCAAAACAACATAAATATGTACACCAAAAGGTTCGGCTGGAGCATGCAGCCGCATCTTACGGTGTCAAACTAACTCTGCCACACTCAGCAGCTTCCTGACTGATTGTAAATTGACATTATATGACTACTCTACAGGCATGGCTCTTGAGCTGTCATCAAATCTGGAGCCAGCTGTATGATTAAACATGTCAGAGCCGCATACCTCGTCCGAGCAAGCAGGGTCAAATTGCAGCAGGACCTCGTGTTTCAATACTTCTATATGTTTGATTCTATGTAAATAACATATGCTACTTGTATGGTTTTCACAGTTTTCACATCTAGCTTCGTAGCATGACACCGAGCTCTACATCGAACAGCCTTTTCAACCACCCTCCCGGTGGTGACCGTCCCAGTGACCGTCCTCAATGGCACTTCCGCACAGGGGGGAGACAAGGCTCCAGCGATGAGCGGCTCACCGCAGTCCCGGCCACAGGTGAAGCTGGGTGGAAAAAGCCTGCGACCGTCCGCCGAGAAACACCACTACCTGGAACCTGGACCTGAACCGAACTCGTAGTGTCCTTGCTACTAGTAACAAGTGCATCGCTACTAGTAACAAGTGCATGCATTACTACTAAAGTAGCAGATAGCTACTAGTAGCTTCTTAGCTTCTTGCTACTAGTAGCGATGCACTTGATCAGGTGTTGCCATCTGACTGGCAATATCAAAACATTGATCTTTGCCGCTCATCTTCAACAGGGACATACCTGGATCTTCAAAGGGCCGACAAAAAATGCAACCTGCCAGGCATGTTTCAGCTAAAGAAAACTCCGTAATCAAAACTTGCCGTTTCAGGGATTGCAAACATGTGCGAACAAAAATCCATGGACGGAACCGATTGTTTTTTGGTTTCTGATCTCGCTACCGCAAAATTTGCTGGTTTCAGCCTTGTCACATCCAAAAAGAACGCTGTCTTTTGGAAAAAGTGCCGTAACGCCATGTTTTTCCTGAAAGGGCAAGTATTTGTGCCGTTTCGACGATTCAGGTACAGCCGTTTCTCTGCTTTTCCAAGCGCGTCCGACTTCTGCTGATCAGCGATCGGAGCGATCGGCATTGTAGTCATTATGTGTACTGAACCCATACTCCAAACATCTCCAAACAGCAATAACTTGACATGCACAAGTTAACGCGCGCCTTCTTCTATATCGCTTTGATTAGCAAAGAAAGGCATGTGTACAGTCTTTTAAATCAACATTCCGTCAGTAATGCAAATGAGTATACAGTATCCTGAATTAAATAGCAGCAGTACGCCATACCTTCATATTACCTTCTGTAGCTGAACGAAGGCGCCTTGGAAGTGGCCCTTCTCCCTTCTCCACCCTTCTCCTTCGCATCATGTTCTTCGCTCAGATCCATCCGACCGTCCGAGCATCCGCACTGGCCACTACCAGCAGGATCACATCGCAAGGTTTCCACGGATGGGCTGAATCCCACCTGCGAGCCCGCATTGTCTTCGCGGATCCACGAGTTTGGACAGACCGGCATTGGAAGCCTTTGGGGGATGGAGCGCTGCTATAGCCCTCACCAAGCGACCTTGAGTGGGTATGGTCCAATGATGTTGGAGTTTGGCAGAAGGAAGTGGCCGAGCCTTGCAGCCATGCAAGTGGCCTTCCATGTCTTCTTTCAAACACCGGATGGCTCACACAAAGTGAGCATGGGAATCCGTCCCAGCCTGAAGTCTTAACACATGGGGAGGACAGGAAGCCCTTGATTTGGTCTCAGTCCGAGGTATCAAATGCAGTTGTCCTGAGGTGCAGTAGGAAAGTGTCTATGTACTTTTGGAACGACATGATCTTTATTCTCCCAGTGCTACGATGCGTTTCAGTGTGTCTAGATGCTGCACTCCGATTGGTAAAGTAATTTGGCTCCAGCTACTCATGACCTGGGAACAATTCTGTAATTGGTCAGTTCTCCTCAACAATAAAAGCGCAAAGAAGGGTGGTTTTGACATGTTTTCAACACCGTCCTCTGTGAAAAGGTGTTTTTGTGCAGCATCCACACCCAAGGTGTTCGTTTTTTTGAGGTATAGCATCTTCGCCCTTCAAAATATAAATCTGACCGTGACAACCTACGACTCACGACCCAAAGAACGGACCCGGAATGTCACATCCGTCGGCGAATGGATCTGCAAATCAAAGCCCCTTTCCAGAAAACACATGTCGCACATCTTTGAACACCATAAACACCGACAAATCCAGCGAACCGTCCGAACCGTGTTCCAAAGACATGGATCAACAAACATATGTTGCAACAAACACACACACAGCATACAGCATACATATCGAAGGATCGTTGGCACCACGCAGCCAAGTCCGCCAAGGAGCCACGCAGCTGGTGTAACAGATGGTGCCTGGCAGCAACCTGGAGCCGCGCACTTGGAGCCAAACTCGCTTTCTAAACGCTGAACATCTTCAAATATATAGTGTCTCACAATAAAGGGGACCCCGCAACCAATATGTGGAGATACTTGGAGCAACAAAAGCAGTTGTGCCTAGATATCCTATCGACGCCAACAAAAAAATGTCCCACATGTCCCCTCAACGCCAAGGAACTGGACGCCCTCTCCACAGCTGAGCGGGCTCTTCTCAACAACCTAAGTGCCGAATCCGGGCGCCGGGCGGGTGGTAAAATGTGACGACGTGGGCAGCTGCGAAGGTTCAGTTGGGAAGGATTGCTTAAACTTTGGCAAATGTGTTTGTTTGTTGATGTTTTGAATGTTTTCTTGTTGGATGAGAGAATCTCATAGAATCTCTAAACCACAACACTTAAGCTTGGATGGCAGTAAGGATCAACCACCCCAACATAATCAAGTGTCGAGAGATTAAGTGTCGTTACATCTGCTTTTTACAGTTGTTTGATGCATATTGTGTTGTTTAGTATTATGTGTGCCTATTGGACACTATAGTACACAAATTATTGAACCCCACCAATTGTGCCCCTATAAGCACTTACAAACAGTTTTTTCTGGTGCGTTGCTGAGTGGCAGGAGCCTCGCAAATCTTGAGACAACTGAAGCTCAACGGTGTCCTTGGCACCGAGGCGGGAGCGTGGGCGAGCGTCCGTTCGGTGAAGCGAGGCTTTTTCGGGTGAGGCTTTTCGCTTCTTCCGAAGGTCTAAGCTGATGGAACATACGACCAGTAGAACGATAGAAGCTATAAGGTGACCTCTCCTAGTAGCTGCTCCGGTAAAAAATAAACATCGGAGTGTGTTCCGCATAAAGAAGAACGTACGAACACTCACCAGAGCAAGGCTGTAACAAAGAACGTGTAGTACAGTAGATTGTGAAGAGATCCGGAGTTTCCACCGCCAGAGTCAGTTCCAAGCAACCAACCTGGCTGATTCAATGTTCTGTCTTTATGAATCTTTATGTGTTCGTTCACACACGGGCCGCACAAGAACAACTCGTGACTCGTTGGTGAAACATCGGACAAAGTGGGCGCTTGGCCATGCCAAGCTGCAAAATGCCATCCCAGCACTCCAAAGACAGATAGCTGGGCACATAACCCTCCAAGCACCGTGAAGTGCAGCTGGAGTTATGAGGCAGGCTGAAACCTGCAGGTCAACCGCAGGAACTTGCAGTCTCGCATGGTTTGCTATGTGGCTATGTCCAGGTTTCGGGGGAGCACTGTCGGGGAAAACCACTGTCTGGTCAGCCGGCTCTGTTCATCGATCATAAGTACCCACTGTGCGGAGCTATCTAGGCTAAGCCTCGGTCGCTGATGTAGTGGTTCATTCTCGTGGTGAATCAGAAAGCTATGTCAAATCTATTAGCTGGATAGATATAGCTAGAATCCCTAGCTGCCAGTCTTGGTCTATTTCTAATCTATGTAAATCTACTGCATTGATTTTTGGTAGCATTAGTGCCGCGCAGTTGGGCGGTCCTTCTTGGCAGGGAGGTGCTGGCGCGAAGGGCACGCTCGCGAGAAAACAAGGCCGGACAACGTTGCCTCAGCATCAGCTGTGCTCCCGGTTCTTCAGAGGGGAATACGTCCTGACTTTCTGTGATTCATGGGCTTTCTGCAGGAGTTCTTCAATTAAGATTATTAAGATCCAGAACTGAAACTTGAAGTAGTTTCGCCTGAGCAAGCAAGACTTACATTGGGACAATTCCAAAACAAGGACCCCAAAACAAAAAAAACCGCGGTACGGTTGTGAATCATTCTACTGTATTACTGCTGGTGCACTGTTGACATGGCGGTTGTGATGTAAGTATCCAGCAAGTTCAACCCCTGATATCTCTTGGATTCTCTTGGAAACATCCGCTCCATGGCAATACATCAAGAGTTTGTAATTCGTGGCACCAAGTGGCCAAAAGCAAGAATGGTATCGTGGTGTTCCTGCTCTCAGCCAGCCTTCTGTTTCCGGAGTGCATGCAAGGATCTATATGTAACTATTTGGTCTTCTGGTCCAATCATTGCACACTACCTTCACGTATTCAGGTATCAACATGGTGACTTGCGCGTGCCCGGCTGTCTGCTGCAAATCTGCTCAGATTGTCTCGAGTGTTCTGCTGCTAATTCTGTTCAAATCGTCAAAGGTATTTGGAGAGTTGGCTCTGGAGAACAGAATTCTCAGAATATTTGGAATCATTGCAATATATTGGAGTCCGGAGAATCATTTGAAGAACCAGGAACATCAGCCGCCATGTCGCTCCCCCCAAAAAACGACCCGCAAAAATCAAGCGGCACTGGAAGCTGCTGGGTGTAAAGGAACCATCAAAGCATTGAAGCTGAGAGAGGCTGGGCAAGTAGCCTTCTCCTCGTGTCGGTGATGTTTGCAGCAAATGGCCAGGAGTCAACCAAGGCAACATACCTTCCTCGATTGGTAGTAGAACTCATCGTCAGGGCTGGCAATCGATTCTCCGTGGAATTTAGGTTTCAGGCTTCACCCGCTTTTGATTCTCGTTCCCATGTTCATCCCGTTTTGGTGGAAGTGTTGAGGCGTCCTCTTTCTCCGACTCCAGTCACAAAACAGAAGTTCACCTGGAGACCAAAACACAGAATCGACTGACTGGCAATTTCACAGGAAAGCATGCTTAGTCGTCACCAGTCATCACGGTGAGAGCAACACCTGTGTCAATTGCATGCTCTTGTTCGCATCGTGAATGTGCTCTTGATCCAAACCACATGTAAAACATGAACTTCCAGGCAAATGCCCATGGATCCGTCCCAAATGCAGTCTCGTTTTTGTTGAGCAGCTGCCCACACGTACCGTACCATAGATCCGTCACACGGCATGTGGTCTTATATATCGATCAATGGGAGATCCCCATCGTCACAGGTTCAGCTGAGAAGCTCAGAAAGACGGCGATTGCCTTGTTTGGGTTGATCGAAGTATCGTCAGTTCCGTTTTTTTGGAGAATGAAAACGACCATTGGACGCAACCAAATAGACCCAAGCTTCATGTAATTCTGTATCACTCATCAAGAAAGGCACCGTGGCACCTCAGAAACTACCCATGGCCCCGACAACGACACCCGACACCAGGACCCCCTTCGCCCAGCGACCACAGAGTGCGGTGCAGCTCTTGCGGCTGGCCACGGTAGCGCCCTCCATGCAAGCGGCGCCATCCACGGGGCTAGGCCAATCCGGGGAGATGGCGGGGTACATAGCGGCTGTACCTTGGTGCAAGCGGATGGTGCAAACAAATGACACACAGCGGCCTTGATATCAGCCAATAGTGAACATGATTCACAGCTGGAGCATGAAATGTGGCTTCCTGCTCACAGCACATGAAAAGATGTTGGTAAGAGTTTCAAAGATCATTTGGATTGGGAAAAGGGATTTGAAGGGAAACCTGACAGAGTCAAGGAGTGTGGACTTTCAACTATCCCATACCAACCGGCGAAGCGCCAAAAAGTTCTTCACGTCTCTGGCCATGTGACCGACCGTCGCAGTGCAGGTTCGCTCACACTCGAAGCTGGTGGGGAAGAGCACGCCTGGAAGGCTGAAGAAGGCTGAATGAAGTGTTGCAAAAGGAAGATGGAAATGACATCCACTGCTCGTGGAATTGGACATGTTCTACATCATTTTACATATAAACATTCTCATCTGAAATTCAACTTACCCTTTTTGATTTCCATGCGCCCAGAGCGACAATATAAAAGACCCTTCGCCACGCTTCGCCAAACCCGTTCGTTTGTTTGGGTGCGATGACTGGTCATCTGGACACCATAATTCCTGGTTACATGATGAGTTCCAAAAGGAACAAGCAAGACAAGCAAAGCTCTCTGAAAACTGAACATATGGTTACAATCAACTTTCTCCTTGCCGGCTGGGTCTATGGCTGAAACATGTAATATATAGATGTTCAACCAAATCAGCCACGGTCTGTATGTGGATGTTTGTCTGATGTTTGAGCGGTCTCCCAACATGTTCTTTGACCTCGCCATCCCCCGCCGACTGCACGACTGCGCCTTGCTGACACACCAGCCGCTCCACGGATGGACCATAGCCAGGCCCACACTGTGCATCACAGGCTGCACCATGCAAGAGCAGGTCGTCATCACCACAGCTGCCGCCTGTTTTTGTTTTCACACTGATCTGGAGACTGGTACAAAACAAAACACCCAACCGCCCATCCTTTCAGATCTGCGGATCTGTCGGTTCCTCTGTATATGACACGGGTCGATCACCCGACACTGGGTGTCGATCAATCCCAAAGGGTCCCATCTCCAGCCATTGGGTCGCACAGCTTCAAGCGGGTTGGGGATGTTCGCGGGGAAGGGATGATCAGTAACCAGGCGATGACGAGGACAGCAACCAGGCAGGACATCTGAGGTTCGAGTGGCCGGACATGACTGTCGTGTCGTGATCGCTCATGAGCGTCAAAACAACGAGTCATTATATATATATATTATATACCCTTGTTAGTGACGTCTCCCAAAACTAGCAAGGGTATAAACGAAGAACCGTGTGTTCTGACTACATGTTGATACATACGTGTACATGATAGGCAGGGACTTGCTTTTTGAAGTCAGGTACATGTGAGTGTGTCAACATCCGTCTCGAATTGGAAGGCTGCTCAGCCATCCATCCAACGCAGAAGTTTTTCACACAATAAAGAGCAAAACAGAAGTCAGTAGTCGCAGCCACAAGGAGAATCCTGTCTTTTCATGTTGTACCATAGTTACGTCTGATTGAGCTGTATTTGAAGCGACGCTCAACGGTCGAGAAGCCACAGCGGTACTGGCTGAGAAAAAAGAGAAGAACCAGTGCGTTTGAACCAGGTGTCCCACTTTGAATTTAATCACCAATTCTCATATCACGTGTTTCTGGATCAACACCTACCGGTTGAACATCTTATGCGGAGGACCAGCATTGGTGCGACGTTTTAATACTAAGGGCCCAAGGGCCTCTTGAAGCAACATCTTGCCTAGCCAAACAACATTATATCTATCCATCATGAGTGGACACCGATGTTCTTCTTTGTAGTCCAAGATAGTCCAAGTAGGTAACATGAAGGAGCAAGTAGGTCACACAACCCCCAAACGTCCACAGGTCTCAACCTCCACAGTCCTCTGACCTTTCGATCGACCGTCTACCGCCGACATCCGCCGACCAGCCGTCTCCGCATCCGCCCGGGCCATCTGTCCTCTTGGTGCGACGCCCGTGAGCATGCAGCTGGGGAAGCACTCAAAGGTGGAGGGAGACAGTGCCTGGTCGAGGCGTCCCACGGGCTGGACCCACTAGACCCGAAGGGCTGGACCCAAGCATCAAAGCGAAAGGATGGAGAAACCACAAATGAACATATTGAGACAAGTCCAATGAACACAATGAAGCAACACCTTTGAAGAACACGTTACATTGTAACGCTCACACATTTTTTTGCAAATTCTTATCGTGTGCTCACTTCTGAGATGGGATAGTTGATGATAGTTGTGATCGCGCCTGAAACTCCGTGACCGTGCTCATCTACCATAGCCACAAATAGCAAAACTAAATATATATATATATAGTGGACAGTAATTAGTCTTCTGAGATTGCGTGGAAAAGAAAATGTGCCTATCCCATGAGGGGTTGCAAATGGTTCCAAAAAGCTTCGATGCGGTTAGAACCACTCATCTTGCAAGTTCCGATGGGGGAAACTACCCGACGGGTCAATAGCTGACTTGGCAGCGAAACCTGACATGGTGGCAGCGAACCCTGACTTTGCATGATCTGAAAATCAGAAGGCATCAATGGATCTGTACCGAACAGGAAAAACAAGCGCCTTGTGCCTTGGGCCTTTGGCCTGATTCATCCTAATTGCTGGCAATGTCACCATGTGACTTCAAAGCTGCTAAATGATACAATATTGAACAACACTTTTGTTGGTGTTTGAAAATACGTGCTTCGATAAGCTGGTTTTGAACAAAGCTGAAGCTAGTTATTCAAAGCTGCTTTTGAATATAGCTATTCATACCAACAATATTGATCAAAGCTGTTTTGGGTTGGGGTTGCTATGTCATTGACCCCATTCACCGCTTGCCTCACGTATGCAGGAGAGTTCAATGGAGCTGGGCACGTAGCCTTCCTGACGACAAGGTGCAGTGCCACAGCTGGTATTCACCACACAAAACCACACAACTACTGTAGACATTCTTCCAAGATGTCACAACATACACACACACTCATGGAAACACATGTCTAAAAACCAGGAATCAACAAGTGGGGGACCCTTCTTTTCCCACATCCCCACACAGAAATCTCCACAATCCAACAACTCATCACGTCCTCCAAAACTTGTTTTCCTTCCATACTCATTCACACCTCTGGATTTTTTGGACCTCGACCTTCACTGAAAGCCCAGCCTGGCACTGTGTGGTGCAGCCCTGGCCTTCCAAAATGAAGTCGCCCTGGTGGCCGACGAAGCACTAGACTGGCCTAACTACGATGCTGAACTACAGTCCGACCTAACTACTCGACAAATCGGCTCCGTCGTTGTTTTTCTCAAGGGCCTTGTAGTTAGGAAAGGGAGTCTTTCTGCATCCATCTGTGTTTATCTTGTTGTATCTGTAATGATCTCTACGGTTTGGGATGTCTTTTGGGTTTGCGACACCCTCCAAAAAGCAGGGAGGAGGGTCAACGAACATGCCGTGCGTCGACAGTTTGGGTGCACATCAAATTCGGGATGTCGGAGTAGACATTTTCACCGACATCTGCCTGGAGCCTCAAAGTGCCTCAAAAAATGGGTACAGGTACAGGTACCCTGTTTTTAGAGGGTCATGCCCCATTTTCATACGTTTTCTAAGGTACTTTGGAGTGTCGAAATATCTCCCACAAGGAAGGGCAGCTAAATAGCAACATCATGGCACTGATCCCCGGCGCCTCCGCACAGGTGCTTTCCGCTGCGAAGGCCACGCTGGTGGGTGCTGGGCAGCCCTGGACCAGGAGCCTTGTGCAGCAGGTCGTGGGGGAAACCCTGTGAATCTCAGCTACTCAAGGACTGAAGAGTGAACAGCATCAAGCATCCACATTGTGGATCCACGTGCATCTTGAACCAGAGTCAACTGCTCTCCTTTCCCTCGAAAAACGGTGGCATTCGTCCCTATAGA